CTTCACTACACCGGGGTTTTATCCCATATGGCTTGGTCTCTCTCTCTCTCTCTCTCTCTCAGACTGGACACAAAATGCTGAGAATCATCTGAGCGCAAAGTCCCAGAATCCCTGTACAACCATTTGGTTAAATAGGGGCCTGCGACGGAGAGGGGGGGGGGGGGGGGCTAGGGGGGGGGGGGGGGGGGGAGGGGGGCTCTGGCGACGATCCTCAGTGATTGCTGTAAAAAGGGGAGGGGGGGTAAGATAGCAAAAAGTTGTGTTTTTTTTTCCGGTGGTCACACATGTGTCAACATTTACAGATATGCTAATCCTCTCAGAGACACTTCAGGTAAGTGATTCCATATATTCTTGTTTTGTGTTTTTAATTAAATGTATTCTTGTTTGTAATTTATTGTATTCTTGTTTGTGTTTGTGATTTCATGTGTTCTTGATTGTGTTTGTGATTTCATGTATTCTTGTTTGTGATTTTATGTATTCTTATTTGTCTTTGATTTCATGAATTTTTGTTCGTGTCTGTGTGATACTGTATATTAATGTAAAGCCGCAGCGTTCACTTGTTGTTTGTTTTTTGACACTGTGAAGCTTATTCGTCCTACTTCTCATCTGGTTTGATATCTTTTCCTGATACTTTCTTTCCCAGACTAATGCCACCTAACTAGATCATTATAAACTGGTTTTCTGTTCTTCTGCCTCAATGAAACAAAAGCAACTGTCTTACTGTCACCGTCCTAATATATCCAGACAATGGAAAAAAATATGTAGGAACTGTATAAAAACATCTCCACATTTGCATGATATAACATTCTCTCAGTAAAGTTCTTTGCAAGAACAAAATCACAAATAGCTGCTACAATGTACCCGCCTACAATAATAAATGAACAAATGCTAAGAAGCCATCGTAATATAACTGAATTATTAAATGTATACTTTAACTCTCTTTTTTTTTAAAGGCATACTGATAATTCTATGAAAATGTGCCTTAAAAAAACTAGGGCAAAAAAAGAAGCAACAATTTTGTCTAAGTTTTTATAAATATCCATGGAATCGCCTCCCTTATACCATGTAGAAAACAGGCAGCCATGAAGTCCTCTGCTTCTAGGATGATGTCACGGCACTAATAAATACATATGTGTGTGTGTGCGCGCACTCTATGTGCGTGCGCATGTGTGTGCATGCGGGTGTGTGCGTGTGCTGTGGGTGTGGGTATTTGTGTGTGCACATGCGTGTGTGTGTGTTTTCCAGTTACAAAATATCTAAATTGGGAAAAAGTAAGTTTATTTCAATAATATGGAAGTAATCTCCAAATAAACATCTTACATTAAAGAAACACAGAAAGAAATTAACCAAAAACAAGGATCTCATCAAGATAGCAAATCTGAAACAGGAAGGAGTAAAAGAACAGTTACAACAGAAAGTAGAGACAGCATTCAAACAACTTCCACATGTAGTTGGCCATATTGAGGGAGAATGGAGTAAATATAAAAACACTATGCTTAGTATTGCAGAAGAATTATGTGGAAAACGGAAGAGTGGAAACAGACGGGGAAATAACAAATATTTACCTTGCTGGTGCGAAGAAGTAAAAAACGCAATTAAAAAGAAAAAGGACTTATATAAACAGTGGATAAAATCAAAGAAAGAAGAAGATTATATAAACTATAGACTGCAAAGGAGAGAAACCAACAGGAGTGTCAAGAAAGCAAAACAAGCATCCTGGGAACGTTTCGGTGAGTCAGCAGAAATGAGAAAACAGCCAGCAGAAAATTTTTCAAAGTAGTTAAAAACATGCGGAAAAGAGATGAGAGCTACAACCCCACTGAAATAATTAATGCTAAGACAGGAAGGCCATTGATAGATCCACCCGAGATAGCAGAAAGATGGAGGTAATACTTCAATGAGCTCTTTAATCCTCTAGGAGATCATCAGGAAAGAACAACTGATATACTAATGGATGAAATAGAAAAAGTCATTAAGTAGTCTCCCAAATATAAAGCAAAAGGAGCTGATAGATTACCAACAGAAATAATTCAAACAGCAGGTGAAAGCAGCAGCATCAGATGGCTTCACAGAATATTTAATGCAGATTGGGTACAACAATCCTATTGATTGGCAACATGCAATAGTTATACCATTGTGGAAGAACAAAGGAAGCAAACGAGAATGCGGTCAATACCGAGGCATCTCTCTTTTAAGCCATGTTGGTAAAATGTATGCCAAGATAATAGAAACAAGACTGAGACCAGTGATAGAACCACAGCTGGCAGAAGAACAGATGGGATTTAGGAGAAATAGAAGCTGCACAGATGCAATCTTCACACTTAAACAGTTAATAGAAAAGAACATTGAATACAATAAGAACTTATTTGTGGCATTCGTAGACCAGGAGAAGACATTTGACAGAGTCGACAGACAATTATTAGGGAAAGTAATAGCAAGATATGGAGTAAGCGAACACCTCATCGAAGTGTGCAAAAGTTTATACAGGGATTGTAGAAGCGTAGTTAGAATAAATCAGGGAACATCTCATCCATTCACAGTAACATCTGGAGTAAGACAGGGGTGTGTCTTATCACCACTGCTGTTTATCACCTAAATCGACAGTATATGCAAGAATGCCAAGCCCATGAATGAAAATGTTAGTAAGATCAACGAATTACTCTTTTGCAGATGACCAGGCCTTGATAGCAGATACAGCCATGAAATTACAACAACATCTAACATCCACGAATGAAGAATGTAAAACAAATAATTTGAGAATCAACACTGAAAAGACAGAAGTAATGTCAATAGGAAAAAAGAAGACAGATCTAAACATAGCAATAGAGTGCAAAGGCATTAAACAGGCATCTGAGTTTAAATATCTGGGAACTACATTTACCGAAGATGGGAAATTGGATAAATAAATTAACATTAGATGCAGTAAAGCAAACCAAGTATTGGGACAGCTAGCTCCCCTCTTACAGCATAAGACAATCCCAATCAGCACAAAGAGACATCTTATTCAAAGCATATTTATTCCAATCTCTGTGCTACCAGTGCCAGACATGGTCACTCACAACAAACCAAAAAAGAAAATTAGTAACCACGGAAATGAGATGTCTGAGAAGGGCTGTAGGAGTGACCATAAGAGATAAGATCAGGAATAAGATAAGAGAAAAAGTCGGCACAGAACCAATTCTGGATTACATACGAAGACAGCAAGTGAAATGGTTTTCCCACTTAGAGAGAATGCCTTGTGACACCATACCATACAAAGCATACATGGAAAGAGAAGAAGGACGTAGAGCACGAGGTAGACCAAGAACAAGATGGAAGGATAACATCAGAGAACCTCTACAACAGCACGATGTGCCTATAGTCGAGGAGGCCAGAAGAGCTAGAAATAGAACCTTATATCTCCCTTGACACCCACAGCGGTAAACGAGGAAGTGAAGAAGAGAAGAAGAATACCTAAATACAAATGGAGCAAAGAATTCACAGACTTAATCTCCTCTATCATCTAAAAGTGGTTCTGGTCACTTTGGCACAGAGAGCAGAGTGATATATATTAAAAGTATACATCACCATGATCTTTTTCTTTTACAACTATTTTACACCCCAAATTACAACTACAGAAACTTTGGAAGTAACTACAAGCATATCCACCATGTCAACAAACTGTTTAGCTGCACCTAGTAGCAAAGTTGTCATACAGGCATACTGCGCACTGTCGAGGACATCATGTGAAACAAAAATCCAGAAAAAGCTGCCTAGGGGGCGTGGGGACTTTCTCAGGGCCAAGGGTTAAACTAATGGGTTACGTTAGTGAAGACATCCAGGAGCTACACTAACATGAATGTTGATGTGGGGGAAGCCAAAGCTGCCATACTAGATTCCATTTTTGACACTGAAATAACTGCACAGGACAGATTGGAATAGAAGAATAAGAATAAACTGTCAGCCTTATATGAATAATAACGTCACCATAGGACAACGATGATGATGATGATCATATCTTAAATGAAATCATCTTCAACATCACATAACAGATCCTCATCTCGTACACCTTCCTAGCCAGGGTGTCACTTATATCCTGTTCCCCTCTTCATGCTGGTCTGCCATTGCCCTTTTCCTGGTGTGACATGTTTGGCCTAAAGCCTCTTATATTTTCCACTAAAATTTTGATATATTTTCATCATTTAAGAGGTTTCAGAAGCTATTTTTTTGTATTTATGTTTTATTTAGGTTCTCAGTAAGACAATCCCTCATCAAAATGTAATTTACAAAAGTCATTTCTAATTCTGATCTTTCCAATTGTCAGTATGGTAATTCACCATCAATATCAGATTTACAAAGCCATTTCCAGTTTTCATATTTTCATATTATAAGTTCTCAATATAGCAATTCATTATATGTTTTCTGAAAGTTATTTTCAACACTGAAATTCTAAGTTCTCAGTATGACAATTCAACATGTAAGCACAGCAACACTTTATTTAGGAAACAGTTACCACAAACATCGCAATAACTGATACAGTCTTTACCAATGGCCAAACACCCTAAACCAAGTTTTCACATCAGATATCGATTCCATTATTAAAAAGACATGAAGCGAATCAGTTCTGATATGTTGTGTTGAAAGATGTGTGCTTTTCAAGTTCAAGACCAGAAGAAAAAAAGGTATGCTAGGTACTTTATTATTAATTCACCCAAAACAAAAGAAATCCGGGAGTTTCCAGAATAGTCCAATAGTCTAAAGGTGTTATGGGTTGAGGCTGGAATCTATGTCAGCCCTCACCACCACAGAGACACCAACTAACCCTCCCCTAACCCTAAACCTAACCCCTAAAACTCCTAGAATATTGGAGTTTTCAGGGAACCTCCGGAATTTCCTTTGTTTGGGGTGAATTAAAAATAAAGTACCCTGTGCTATAAACGAGCTGTGTAATTACATAAAAGAAAACATTTCTCGCAAACAGAATGCAAACAACAAAACAATATGTGTGCATAATATGTCTACTACTCCTCCGCATGCAAGCCACAAGGGCGCTTGAATTCCTGCCCTCTTTCATGTATCCATTTGTTAGCCACCCACTTTGTCCCAACCAGCACGGGGCAAGCTGCGTGCCTTGTTGAATAGATTCCGCTGCCATTTTTGTATAGATTGTACCAGAAAGCTGCATCTCCCTGCAAATATAAGCAGTTCTGGTGTTTATTCACTGACACTTTATTAAATCAAAATTTTTCTTCTGTTATCATGAAAATGTAGTTTGATTGGTGTCTGTATGAAAGTTGAAAGGAATTTCCTAATGGTTAAAAGTTTCTTGGGGGCAATATATTATTAGTGATGACAGCCCAGTTAGATAATAGGCCCACGGCAGGACTTTATAAATAATTAGAAAACTTATGCTCATCATCTAATTCATCACTCCAGGACTACAGAACTTCATAAGATTTTTTTTTCATGGGACATTTCCCTAGTCGACCTTTCTTGCTCGAGCCACTGATGATACAGAAGTTTGTCTTTCCTGTATTCCTATAAGTCTGCAACAGTAGAAGGTCAGGCATATTATGACTGGGAGGCTAAAAAAGAATGAACCATTTCATTAACTTGAACTGATGCCATTACACTGGGTACAACTCTATGTGCTCTGCCTCTCTTAATAAATGTCACGACATAAGGATGCTGCTGACAAACAATACACTAAAAGAATTTATTAACTGAGACAATGACCACAGCAAAAACAGGTGGTGTCAGTTTAGCCACTCATGCTGTAAGTGTTCAAGCTCATTACAGAGAGCTGTAAGTTATCTGAGACCCTACACAAAACCATTGGGGCATCAAGGATGGGGTAAGTAAAAGGTAAGGGACCTTCTTCACGCCAGTGGTCTATGGAGCATATGATGCTAGAATCATATTTGTCTTACACAACACGGTACTCAATGGGTGGCCAACATCATGCCGGCCTCCTTTACCTTCCAGGAGTTTACCTGGTAGCAATTTTAGGCTAGATCAATCTAGGATTCACTAGTCTAGCCACTTGACCATGGCAGTTCCACAATCATATGATGCTGGACTCATATTTTTGTATATAACATGCCACTCAATGGGTGGTGTGGCCAACATCATGCCGGCCGCCTTTGCCTCCCAGGAGTTTACTTGCCACTATACTACGTCAGCTGCACAAGCATAGGGCACTAGACTCAACCTTTTATAGACCAATCAGCACTAGATTCGTGATGTGGTCCAACCTTCATATGCTGGCAGGAAACCATCTAGCCCACACAAACAAAATAAAGAGAGCTTTTGCAAGTATTTAAACTGAGCTAACAGTCTGCATAAGAATGACTGAACTGCTAACTAAATTTATCTTAATTACCAATGCACAGTTAGGAGACCTGCAGTTAAATCTCTTGTCACTTAAGCTTCACCTTGTGATACTGTTGCCTCCAAAGCCACTGAAAATATTATCCACATGTGATATAATTTTTTTCTTCTGTTGCAATCAAGTTTGTTGCCCCCAAAGCTAGTGAAAATATTATTCGCATGATATTTAATTTCTTCTTCTGATGCTGTAAAATTTGTTATAATGTGATAAACCTGCTTCATTTATTTGGAGTCCCTAGGCTTTACCTGAAAATTATACAATTTGCTGAGCTTTCTCTAAATCACATAGTGTGTTATTGTGTTCCTAAAGAACATGTTCTGCTGAAAGTTCCCTCTAAAGCACTTGCTCTGTTGGGGAGCTGCAGTAATGTAGTGGCTTAATGAAGCTGGCCTCTGTGGAGATTTCTCAAAATCCCATGTTCTATTTTCTAGAATTGTTACACACAGAAAGAGTTTAAAGATGATCTCACCTTCTTGGGATAAAGCTTTAAGCCTAGGTAAGGGAAAACTGTAGCACCACCTGCCTGAACATCAGACATCTAAAACAAACATCACTAAATCAATCAACAGAATCTTGAAAATAATATACAACGTCTCCCACAACTGGGCCCTGGAATCCAACTGGGGAAAACAGTGGGTCAAACACAACCACATTAACAATCAATTAATAAGAACAACCGGATATCAGCTGACAGGAGTGTTTACTGGATATACTGCTGAAGGTTACCATTATCAAGTGAAGTATGTTGTACTGTAAAATCAGGCCTGCAACTGTGTGGTGTAGCCAATGTAAAATGCTCTCTTTTACACCACTGCTGCACATCAGGCATATATTGTTAGACTCATATATTTACTATCTGCATAAGAATATGAACTTAACTATAGACCAAGGGAGACCTGCAGCAAATGCTAAAAGTGATACTGAACATTAAGGAATAATTTTTTTTCTTGGCTGGTAAACAGCATCTTTTCTCAGAAACTCAAGTATTCTGGTCATTTCAAAAGCTGCGGCATATTGAAAAAACAAAAGTAAAAGGCATGGTGCCAGGAAAGAGGGGCAGGAGCAGAGTAGCACAAAGGTGGGCACAAGATATAAGTGACATCTAGGGTAGGAAACTGCACAAGGCAGGACAGCTGGTGAGTGAGAGACCTAGTTTCTTTCAGGCAGACCATGATAACAGTTAAATTCTGCAAACGACCTGCAACATGACGTGACAATCTGCACTCAATGGGGGGATGTGGTTGGTCATTATTCTACCAACTTGCCTTTACTTCACAAAACATGTCATGGAACCTATTTTAGTCTGTGAGCCAAGGTCAGTTTTTTCCATAAATCTACCCTGTGTGAATTCTAATCCAAGAAATTTGCGTCAACAGGCAAGTGCCTAGTTGCTGGTATGGCTCCTGCACACAATGCAGGCAGGCTTTTATGTCAGGGCTGCCTTCCACCACCCAGGTGCCTGCCACCACCCAGGTGCCTGCCACCACCCAGGTGCCTGCCATAGTGACCCAGGGTAGGAAACTGCCACCAGGACAGCTGCCTGCCACCACCCAGGTGCCTGCCACCACCCAGGTGCCTGCCACCACCCAGGTGCCTGCCACCACCCAGGTGCCTGCCACCACTACCAACTTGCCTTTACTTCACAGGTGCCTGCCACCTACCCAGGTGCCTGCCACCACCCTGGTGCCTGCCACCACCCAGGTGCCTGCCACCACCCAGGTGCCACAATGCCACCACCCAGGTGCCTTCCACCACCCAGGTGCCTGCCACAAGCCAGGTGCCTGCCACCACCCAGGTGCCTGCCACCACCCAGGTGCCTGCCACCACCCAGGTGCCTGCCACAAGCCAGGTGCCTGCCACCACCCAGGTGCCTGCCACCACCCAGGTGCCTGCCACCACCCAGGTGCCTCCCACCACCCAGGTGCCTCCCACCACCCAGGTACCTCCCACCACCCAGGTGCCTCCCACCACCCAGGTGCCTGCCACCACCCAGGTACCTCCCACCACCCAGGTGCCTCCCACCACCCAGGTGCCTGCCACCACCCAGGTGCCTTCCACAAGCCAGGTGCCTGCCATTACCCAGGCAGCACATGTGAGCTGCTGGATCTGATGACCAACTCTGTGACTCCTAGACAGTTGTCACTTTAGACAGTTGTCACTTTAGACAGTTGTCACTTTAGACAGTTGTCACTTTAACTCATTTAATCTGAAGTGGCTGCTGTTTGAAGCTAAAAATGCTGTTTCTAAATATGTTCAACTAATAATTCTAGAGTAAAGAAAGAATTTAAGAAACAGCTTGGGGAGAGAAGGTCTAAGAAAGAACTACCTTGCACATATAGAAAGGAAGCAGAAACAATGTCTGTGGAATTCCCATAAAGTGTATTGTAAGTTTTGTGGTAATGAATGAGTTTTAACCTTCTTAGAATTCTTAATTCTTATTTACTATCACCCTATTTCAACCCAGTTCCATCATTTTTTAGACTGATGCTCATCTGTTTATGTTTTGTGATATTTATAATAAGCCCAATCCACCACGGCGCTTGATATGGCCAAAATATTTCAGTTTTCAAGACAAGATGCTATTTACTAGCCAATCTTCGTTTGATATTTTATGATTTCAGTATTTCTATTTTTTCTTTGTCATGGTATTCTGAGAATCTTTCTACAGCATTTCAACTCAAAAGCACCCATTTTAGTTCCTGATGACTGTGAGATAGTGTTTTACACGTAAAATATTCAAACTTACATAATTTAAGAAAGTAGCTATCCGGTTTCCAGTTCCAAGTGATTTGAAGGCATCTTTTTCTTCCCTCTACAGCACAATTCATGTAGTGAAAGAAAGATAAACAATGATAACTACAGCAAAAACAAAATATTGTTTTCATTATAACTGTATCAACTTCACAGCTACACATTAGCAACAGAAGTCAGCCAAGTAAAGGACCCTTTCCCAGGTCTTTAGGTGTATTGGGCATATAGGGCTAGAACTATATGTCACAGACTAACTGTGTTTGGTTGGATGATGTGGTCAGCATTGTGGTGGAACAGATTTACTGTTTTGTTAAAATCTTTGTCAACAAAATAAATCGACTGATTAAAATCTATAAGCAAACATGTACTAACTCTGTCAAAGGAAAAATGATGCACTAACATTTGCAAAGAAACCTGCTTAATCTCTCCCAGATGATATAAACCATTTGTTACAATCTTCAGGCAAATTTGTCCCCTCTATAAAAATAAATAAAACTATTTGTTAAAATGTGTGGGTTTTCTTGTAAAAGCAGATCGGAAGGTTGTGGATTACGTTCCTGACGAGGGCCAGATTTTTTTCAAAAATGACCTTGGCTCCCAGGTCAACCCAGCCTTGAATGGGTACCAGATACAGTCCTGGGAGGCAAAGGCATCCGGCGTGGCGAGGACCACACCACCCACCAAGTGCCGTTTGGTCTATAAAGTATTGCTTTAGCCCTATATACCCAATATGCCTGAAAGGCATGCAAAAGGGTCCTTTACTTTACTTTTCTTGTAAAAACAGGTCCCAACACAATCAAAATTCGTTAAAATCTGGAAACAAACTTGTCCCAGCACTATCAAAAGACAAGCTGATCGTTAAAATCTGGTGTTTTTTTTTTAAAAACCTGTACCAACTCTATGAAAAAGTCAAATGATCTAAACAAAAATGCATCACTCAATTCTACTAACAAAAAGGACATTTTCTTTGCTGAACTCTGACAAACAGAACAGTCTTTAAGAAAAGTCTTCCACAGTTATAGCATGGGATTTCAGGATCGTTTTTGTCAACATTGGTATTCAGTCTGTTTCTTCAGATGCTCAGCTCTCATCCTTTCTGTCATCATTTCTTTCTTCATTCTCATTCCTTTTCTGATGTGCTCCCTCCACACAACACGGTCCATGGCATTTTGTCCCGAGTCCACCTCAGTACCTGCATAATTCATGTTCAGTTTGCACACATCTTTATATTGTAGTAGAGGTCGGCATTGACATCTTCTAGCCATCTTTACCTCACCATTGAGGATGTCCTTGGAGACTCTTGTCATCCTCCAATCTCCAGATGTGACCCAACCACCTGAGTCTTCGTAGACTGAGCACAGAGTAGACAACTCAGTGTCTGTGATCTCGAGGCATGGCGTCCACCTCGAATGCTGGAAGTCCCGGGTTCAAGCCTGGGTGAAGGCTGGGATTTCTTTCACGTGGACTTCTAGAAATTTCCCCTGATCTCTGGGTAGTAGCATCAGATGCCTGTGTGTATTGATACACACATAAAAAATCATTTGGCAGTTGGAAATGAAAAAGAGTAGCCTAACGGCACTGCCCGGGCAAAAAGTTAGGAGTTAAAAATGTACCCACAGTATTTCAAGATTCTCATTGGTGCTACGGAGCTCAAGCACTGCGCTAAGATTCTTCCTACTTAGGCTGGAGTTCAAAATAGAATGAATCACTTATGGGTTACCACCCTTTGTGCCATGATGTTGATCCGCTGTATAAACAAACAAACAAACATGATCTTGTCCTGCCACTGAATGCCAAGTATTCTTCTTAGGCATTGCATGTGATAGCATTTAGTCATTTCTCCTGGTGCGAATCAGTTGACCAAGCTTCACTGCCATAAAAGCAGAGTGCTGAGAACACAAGCCTGATAGACAAGAACTTTTATTTTATTTGTGAGCTTTCTGTTCTCCTAAACTCTTTTCAATAGTCTGCTCATTGCTGTTGCCCTCACCTATGCTGATTTTGATTTCTTGGTCCAGCGATTGTCTGTTATTCACTGTGGATTCCAGATAGGTAAAATGGTCAACCATCTCCAGCTCTTCACCATCAATGTAAACTGCAGGTCTATCATTATCACCCTGCACCCGAACCTTTGTCTTTGCTGTTTGTTAGTCTAAATGCAGATAGTAAACATTGCAGCTTCTCCTCTGAGCGGGGTGGTAATTGCTGCATCATCTGCAAACAGCATCTCTCTGATTAGTACCTTTCTTATTCTGGTTTTGCCTTCAGCCTAAGAGTACTGTAAAGGCTGCCGTCAGATCGGGGATGGATGAATATACTACCCTCCTGATATCAAAAGGCATATTTTAAAAAAAAAAGTGAGGAGTATACTCCAATGAGGGTAGCAGCATGTACACATCCCTGGTTCACTCATTGTTGATTACAAACTCGTCCGATGTTACACCATGAAAGCTAATTGTACCTTTCATACATGTGTGAAACGACTCAGTAATGAGATGGGTTTGAAGTGAGGGCAAAAAGAGTGGGTGGGGTTTTATTGCGATGGTCAATGGACACTGCTTGAAAACAGACATCAAGTGTATGATGTCACAACATCCAGTGTGGGAATGGAGGTGGAGGCTGTAACAGCAGCTTTCTGATGGTTTTAGAGCAACACAGCATATGTTGTTATTGTAATGGACTCGCACAGCATGCTTTTGAAAAAAGAAATGTTGTTCTACAGTGGCTTGTATTGCTTCATAAAACTAAAATCAGGAGCATATCATGGACTTTCAGTGGAGGATATTCAGGTGTGCGAGGTACTGAGCAAGGTGATAGTGTTGCTGCTGCTCCTCCTCTATCTGAGCTTCATTATGATAAAGCGGAAGTGGTAAAGGCACTCTGCAATCAACAGAATGGACAGAGTATCCCTACCTTGAAAGACTGGTACAAGATAGTCTAGTCTTGATGTATGACAAGCTAGATGTTGTCAGGGCCCTTTAGAAGCAAGTGAACAGTGTGAAGGCACAAACAGATCATTACGGTCTAGGGAGAATGGTGCTGCGAGGAGTTACAAGGAAATCTGGCCGACGCCCATCACTCAAGGGAAAGGTGAGACTGATTACCATCAGCCAGACAGTTACTGGTACCATCAGAATTGGAACTCTTCACTTGCTGCAGAAGATGGGGACAAATCATTTATGGGAGTGTCCAAAGTGCTATTATGTCAATAATTCAACATTAAACCTTGAAAGACTAATTCAGCGGAAGATGAGCAGAGATTCTGGAAGATATTTAACGGGGTGGGGGGGGGTGATAGGTGCACTTTAAATCAGGTTGCAACTAGTATTATTAGCGTAAGGACTCTTCGGTATCTACTGAGAAAGGAGATAAAGCATGTGTAGGAATGTCCTAAATGCAAAGGATGTCAAATCTTGATTCATACATTTAATCACTCACAATAAGAACTCACTTACCCTGGCAAAATCATAGTGAGGTTCATAATGGCCACCAAGACCATAATTTGCAATCTGAAAAGAAGAGGGGGGGGGGGGGGGGGGGGGGGAGGGGGGGGGGGGGGGGGGGGGGGGGGGGGGGGGTGGGGGGGGGGGGGGGGGGGCAGATTGAAATGCAGAAGTATGAAAATAAATATACAACCATCTACATTCTTAAAAGGTAAATCAGTTTATCATCATCATCATCATCAGGTGCCTTGCCAACTGGAGTGGGCGATCATGCCCTTCCACAATCTGCGATCTCCTGCAGCATGTATCAGTTTGTGTGTTGACACACCTCCATGCCATGCAAGAAGGCTGTCAAGAATCTTCTCTCATTGTCTTCCTCTATCCCTCCTTCCACAGATCTTTCCAGTAGTCACAACATGTTCCATTTTCCCACTTCTCATAACATGGCCAAAAAATGATGACAGTCTCCTTCTGCTGTCTGTGATAATAAATTAGTTTATATCCGATTTATTAAACAGCAAGAGATGGAGATGATTTGTCCTTTTTGATAAGAATGCCCTTGTATCAGCTACCACAACCATGGTGAAGAAATATAATGGATACACAGCAAGGGGAAGATTGCACCACAGATGCAACAATGCATTAAAAACAGCCCGTAAGAAATTAAGTCAAACTTATGAAAGGCACTGGGAAAAGCACAAAGAAAGAAGATCTTTACAGCCCCCCCCCCCCCCCCCCCCCCCCCCCCCCCCCCCCCCCCAACTCCAATACTTCGAGAAAATAACTGGAGTAAGTGAACATGAAGAGGAACAGAAGAAGGAAGAAGAAGGGGTGAGGGAGATGAGGAGGAGGAAGAAGATGAGGAGGAAGAAGATGAGGAGGAAGAAGAAGAGAAGGGAGAAATCTGGATTGGTTTGTAGAGAATCATCCTCACTACAGACAGACATTTCCACAGAGAAAGCCAAAAAAGTGACACTGTAATCTACCATGCATGCCATAAGAGGTGACTAAGGAGGGCTGGCATGAGACTGACCACACTCCCCCACCCCCACCCAATCCCAAAGAAAACATTACCAGCCAGCAAAGTTAAATGAATCCAGTCTATAAATAATTTGTATCCACATCTGGCTTATTTGTATCCTGATCTGGCTTATTTAATCCAGACAAAACCGGTTTATTTTTTATCAGATAGATATAGCTTATTTGTATCCAGACAAATCTGGCTTATTTGTCTCCAGACAGATCCGGCGTATTTGTATCCAGATCCAGCATATTTGTATCCAGATCTGGCTTATTTGTATCCTGGCAGATGTAGTTTATTTGTATCCAGAGAGATCCAGCTTTTATTGTATTCAGGCTTATTTGCCCAGATCTGGCCTATTTGTATCTAGCTCTGGCTTATTTGTATCCAGATCTGGCTTATTTGCATAAAGATCTGACTTTTTGTATCCAAATCTGGCTTTGTATCCAGACCCAGATTTTTTAAATCCAGATTTGACTTTTTTGTATCCCGTATCCCGATCTGGCTTATTTGTATCTTGATCTGGCTTATCTGTATCCCAAACTGGCTTATTTGAATCCAGATCTGGCTTATTTGTATCCAGAAATGGCTTATTTGTATTCAGGTCTGGCTTATTTGTATCCAGATCTGGCTTATTGTATCCAGGAATGGCTTATTTTATTCAGACAGACCTGGCTTATTTGTATTCACAGCTGGCTTATCTAAATCCCTATCTGGCTTATTTGTATCCAGATATGGATTGTTTGTATCCATATCTGGCTTATTTGTATCTAGAGAGCTCTGGCCTAATTGTAGCCAAATATGGCCTATTTTTTATCCAGATCTGGCCTATTTTTAGCTAGACAGATCAGACTGTAACCAGATCTAACATTTGTATCCAAATAGATCTGGCCTGTTTCTATCCAGATAGATCTGGCCTATTTATGGCCAATATTGCATATCTGTAGCAAAATCTGGCCTATTTGTAGCCAGATATGCCTATTGTATCCAGCCTATTTGTAGCCAGATCTGTCTTTTTTGTAGCCAAATATGTTTATTTGTATCTAGATAGATCCAGCTTATTTGAATACAGAGCGATCCTGCTTTTTTTTTTTTTGGTATCCAGATGGAGCCAGCTTATTTGTTTGAAGATCTACCATATGTGTATTGAAGATCTGGCTGATTTGTATCCAGACCCAGCTTATTTGTATCCAGATCTGGCTCATATGAATCTAGATCTGGCTTATTTGTAATCAGACAGATCCAGCTTATTTGTATTCAGACAGACTCTGCTTATTTGTATCCAAATCTGGCTTATTTGAATCCTAATCTGACATATTTGAAACCCGATCTGGCTTATTTGCATCCAGACAGACCAGGCTTACTTATATCCATATAAATCTAACTTTTTTGTGTCCAGACAAACCTGGCTTAGTTGAAAGGAGATGATTTGTATCCACATCTAGCCTATTTGTAGCCAGATCTGGCTTTTTTGTATCCCAATCTGGCCTATTTGTAGCCAGAGAGGTCTAGTCTGTAGCCAGTTCTATCTTGTTTGCAGTGAATCTTGCCTATATGTTGCCAGATTTGGCTTATTTGTATCCAGAAAGATCTGGCCTATTAGTAGCCAGATCTAACATTTGTATCCAGATAGATCTGGTCTATTTGTATCCAGATAGATTTGATCTATTTATATCCACATCTGGTCTATTTGTAGCTAGATCTGGCCTATTAGAAGCCAGATTTGGTCTACTTGTTGCCTAATATGGCATATTTGTAGCTAAATCTGTCCTATTTTTATGAATCCAGATCTGGCTTATTTGTATCCAGATGTATATGGCTTATTTGTATCCAATCTGGGTTATTTATATCCTGATCAAACATATTTGTAGCCAGATCTAGCTTACTTGTAGCCAAATCTAGAGTATAGCCAGATCTAGCATTTGTATTCAGATTTATCTTTTTGTATCCAGACAGATTTGGCTTATTTGTATCCAGATCTAGCCTGTTTAAATCCCCCCCCCCCCCCCCCCCCCCCCCCCCCCCCCCCCCCCCTTTAATAACACAAATTCTTGTGTACTTGACAGTTACTAGGAAAAGAGTTATGGAGCAGCACATTTAGTAAACATTTAAACAAGAGATAAAATTGGAAAAAGGGGGAGAGGGAGACATGAAATGAGAGAGTAAAAGGAAAGATAGAGATACAGAGAAGAAGATGAAGATCAGAGGAGAGGGAGAGAGGCAATGCAGGAGACAGGAAGGAGAGAGCAAGAGGTAGAAGATTGAAAAAGGGAAGGAGAAAGAAAATAGCCAATAATCAACTGCCCTCATTTCTGAAACGACCATAAGTAAAAATAGCCAAAACTAGCTAAATGGCCAAAAATAGCATAACTGCCAAAAATCGCAGGTCATCCGATGATCTCATCACAGTGGTCAAAATTCCAGGCTTTTCAAGGTCGGTGGGTGTTTTCCCAGGTGAAAACTAAGTTTCAAGGTTGGGCCTTGATTAAATGCAAGTTTCCAGGTAGGCTAGGAACCTTGAAATAGTCTGACAGTGGATAGTTGCTTCACCAGAAGATGAAAGGCTTAGCGTTCGGCATAACTTGTGGGGAGTAGTTTAGTTAGTTGTGTATCCTTGACAGGATGTTGCAGAGCCAACCCCAGCATTTCTTGGCTGTTGTAGTTTTTCTAGGCAAATTTTATGTTCAGTAGTTTGTCACTGAACGGTTAGCTCTCAGCACCACTGTTGAAATGAAAGCAAGACAGATAGTCCGCAGCTGAGATCAAATTGAACACCCCGGCATTATTAGGCAGGTCTGCAATGCCTAAGCCACAGATGCCAACAGTGAGTAGTAGAGAGAATTATGAGCAGTCAACATGCATGCACTGCATAAATAATAGGAGGGGAACCCTTGAGATCACATACACAGTATGATAAATAAATACCATCATCATCATCAAATGCCTTGTTGGCCAGCATTGGTGGGGGGGGGGGGGGGGGGGGGGGAATGTAATCATGTTAAATCTAGTTTACTGGTAACAGCACAGATCAGCGACTCAGTACATTTATTTAAGTCTGATTAAATCTATATAAATTATATTACTCACAACACACACAAAATACCTGTAATTCTTCTGCTGTACTCATTTCCAATCCCGTAATTGCTGACATTCTATCATTTAGTCTCTCCACGACTGGGTGATCTTTCCCATTCAACCAGGCACTGTTAAAATAACAATTACACAAATAAAGCAAATAAGTGAATCCTTTATAACTGAAGTACAAATTTAAATGTCCTGAACTTTGTAAACAAAAAGACATGACTTCGACACTGCTCCTGCCCTGGTGAAATGTCAACTGCAGTTGACTGTTTTTTAATTTAAAATTCAGTTAAAAGGACTTATTTGCCTCATTTATGTAATAGTTACTGTAGTACGCACCTGATGAGATACAGTGAAACATGCCAGGCAACAAATTGTGCAAACTTGTGTTTGTTTGTTTTGCTTTTTTTAAATTACAATGAGGAAACATTGGTTTCACCGTTAAAGTAACTAAAACTGATGTAAATTGTAAAGGCAGTGGGATCTTTTTTTTTTCAAAGTGCTTAATGGCTGTAAACTCAGGCAGAGAGTTATGGTTGTTCGTCCACCTGTGCACTTTGGTAGTGCTCTAAGACATTGTTTTCTTTTCCATGCACATTCATTTTGCACATCTGGCTTATTTGCATGCAGACTGTTGGTTCCTCGACTTTCAGGCAGATGCCAAGGAGAAAATTGTGTGTCATAATGTATCAAGAAAGCTATTTGCATAAAACATGGGGGAAAAATTGTGAATTCACTTCAAACATTTCAGGCTAGACAATTTAGAAAAAAAGAATGACATCCATATAAAACCTGCTTTAAGGTTCGGGGATAGGAGGTGAGGTGAATTCAGTTGACATTTAGCACTAGATAATAAAAAGCTGGAAGCGAAAAGAGAAAGAGAGAGACAGAGAGAAAAGATGCTGGACAGTTTGACATCATGGCTTGGAGGATCATCTGTATCAGAGTTGAGTGAAAGTACTCGAAACAGAAGGTTGTGGATAGACATGACTACCAACGCCACACGGCATGGACTGTAAGAAGAAGAATAAAGAAAATGCCACCTATGCAAAACCTTTAAAAAAATTAACTCTTTTCAGGCATTCAACGTAATGTATCAATAAAGATATCTAGAGGGAAAAAAGTGAACTCAATTTAGAGATTTAGCATCATGTAACAAGCACATCACAATGGTTAGGCAACATTAGGAACACAGAGAACAGACAGATAGGCAACATTAGAAACACAGAGAACAGACAGACAGGCAACATTAGGAACACAGACAACAACAGACAGGAAAGCTATACAGTGATCCTAATTACCTCTTACTGATTCTGTAATTGGCTGTCTCTAATTCTCCCGTTTTAGAATTCTGAACTGTAGCTCTGTTCAACTGTCCAATACAGACAAAGATATTCAGCACACAATGTTTACTCAACTGGTCTCAAACAGACATTATCTCTTTTTATACACACATTTCGAAAGAGCAAATTAATTGGGGGTGAATGGGGGTGCTCTTTTTTTCAAAGTCAGAGAGGTAGGGAACCAACAATCCGCATACAAAAAAGTCACATTTGTTAAACAGATGTGCACGCATCACTTAGGTTCTGGAACAAGATGAAAGTCCAGAGGTGGACGAACAACCAGAACTTTCTGCTGGAGTTTACAGCTGGTGAAGGCGAAGAAGAAGAACACACACATTAGGATTGTTCAACTGTGTGTAACCGCCACAATGGACACTGGTTACAGAGCACTTAGTGCCGTCTTTGGGAATAGTATGCGGTGAGGCCCCATCTCTCATACTGATGTCCAAAAACCATGACACTCCTCCCCACCCCCCTAACCCACACAAATGTAATGCATTTTGTTGCATGGTTAAACAATGTTTGTTAATCTGACCCCAAAAATCTCTGTTACATGTGTGTATCTACTAGGTTAATCCAAACTATCTAGTGATAAGGGAAGTAATGCATGTTTGAAAATGACTCCTGTGGCAAAGCCTGCGAAGAACAAACACTGCTGAAATGTTCTTTTCATGTACAAGTCATGACTATGGTGAACTCAGGTCACAAACTTTCTGGAAGGAATGGGCAGTGGATATGTTTATAACAATTACCATTGTTGCCATGGCTCAGTGAAGATGCTTGACCAATGCTGACAGAGAGCAGGTTGATGTAGGGCTGCGAGAAGTTGCTAGAAGTTTAGGAGTTGCACACTCTGTCTTACAAAATTTGTTTGATCGTTATAATGTAAGCGGCAGTGTCACACAACAACATAGGTCAGGACACCCAAGTCCTTTCACAAGACGGCAAGACACATTTGTTGTTGTATTAGCTCTCAGACATACAACAAACACTGCCAGTGCCATCAGGACACAACTGTGAACAGCCACAAACATAACCGTATGTGGACAAACCATATGAAACCGACAGACAGATGCAGATCTGTCATCTGACCTGTCTTGGCTCCAGCTGATCACACAGCTCATCTGGCTCGGGTTCAGTGTCATCTGACCCAGGATAGGCATCAATGGAGCAGAGTTCTGTTCACAGACGAATCATGATACCAATGTCCTTGAACATGATCGCTATGGTGGTGAATCAGTAATGGTGTGGGGTAGAATCAGTGTGACCTTCAGGACACCCTTGTATTGAGTATGTGGTTTTTTCATTGGTGTAGTCTGCAGAAATATTACAGCCTCTCTCCCTTACAGCACTTCAGGCTCTAAGACCAGATTCCGTCCTAAGGACGACAGTGGGTTATCGTCTTCCGTGACAGCCGGGCCGTGAACCAACAGATTTAACATGTTACAGCTTACGCTAGGCCAGCTTACCCATTTTCTGATCTCAGCTGGGGCCGTGAACAACAGCAACATGTTACAGCTTACGCTGGCCAGCTTACCCTTCTGATCTCAGACCAACATGTATGGGCTGTGTTAGGACACAGACCTGAAGAAAATCATCAACCTGCTACTACCCTCAATCAGTTGTTCCACTGCCTGGAGCAGGTGACCCCACAAAAGACTCTAAGAACACTCATCTTAACAATGAGGCAAAGGTGCAGTGAATGCATTCAAGATCATCATGGACGTACAGTTGAACTGAATCATGTTTACTTTTTTTTAATGATTCTAAATTTTCAAAAAGGGAGATAAGACGACTGTCATCGATTTTCTTAAAATGAAATCATTTATTTGTCTCCATTTAGAGTTATGGCTTAGGAGATGCAAACGCGATTTGTAATTCCGAGTTATCAGGTTTGGTCACATCTGCAGGCAATTTGGCAACAAAACACCTTGCACTGTTTTAGACCATAATATCAAGAGTTGACCGTTCAGAAATCAATGGCAACCTAATGAACATAAACTTACCCAGAAAAATCACATACATTTAAAAGATTAATGCTGGGATTGGTTCTGCAATGTCTGTAAAAAATACGCAATCAACTAGCTAATGCGCAATGACAACTGTTTAAAGATTTGTAAGTTTCATAATTGTATTTTGTGTTAATATGCACTTATTGAAAATCTGCAACTGGCCTTTTACAATATTTTTTTTTTGCAGTGCACATATACTGGTTATGTGTTTTGAGTAATACATTAACATACACCCAAAACGTTACACACATACACACGCATGTTTAATTTTTCTAATACATTAAAACATTTTACCTTCACATACCCTAAAATCAATACGCATACACATATAAACCTTCATACACCATAAACAACACACATATAAGAGTTTTAAATATCATACACTTTCAAACCAATGTATTGAAACATTGACCTCCATACACTATAAACTAGTGGCTCTCAAATTTCCTAACGCTGTGACCCTCTAATACAGTTCCTCATGTTGTGGTGACCCCCAACCATACAATTATTCACGATGCTACTTCATAACTTCATTGAATATGTGTTTTTCGATGCTTTTAGGTGACCTCTACTAAAAGGTCGTTTGACACACACAAAAAAGGGAAGTGGCCCACAGATTGAGAACTGCTTCTATAAACCAACACATACATATATTAACCTTCATACATTATAAAAACGACAGACATACATATATTAACCTTCATACACTATAAAAACAACAGACATACATATATTAACCTTCATACACTATTAAAACAACAGACATACAAATATTAACCTTCATACACTATAAAAACAACAGACATACATATATTAACCTTCATACACTATAAAAACGACAGACATATATTAACCTTCATACACTATAAAAACGACAGACATACATATATTAACCTTCATACACTATAAAAATGACAGACTTACATATATTAACCTTCATACACTATAAAAACAACCAACATACATATATTAACCTTCATACACTATAAAAACGACAGACATACATATATTAACCTTCATACACTATAAAAATGACAGACATACATATATTAACCTTCATACACTATAAAAACGACAGACATACATATATTAACCTTCATACACTATAAAAATGACAGACATACATATATTAACCTTCATACACTATAAAAATGACAGACATACATATATTAACCTTCATACACTATAAAAACGACAGACATACATATATTAACCTTCATACACTATAAAAATGACAGACATACATATATTAACCTTCATACACTATAAAAACGACACATACATAAATTAACCTTCACATTTCCTAAAAGCAACACAAACAAAACATAAACAAAACCTTTACTTTTCCTAATAACAGCACATACATATATTAACCTTCACACACAACAAAACCAACACAATACATATATTAACCTTCACACACTTCAAAGCCAACACATACACATGTTAATCTTCACATACTATAAAAACAACACATACTTATATTAACCTACCCATTTGCTAGCAAACACAGACATAAATGTAACTTCATAATACAATCTCAAGAAACACAAGTGGAAATGAATTACCCTTGGGGTGGCCATATGTTTGATCTGTTTAATCTCTTCATCACTCATCACATCATGGTAGATGACCAGATAGGGATCCCAGTGAACAATCTCTTCCTTGGCCGGTTGTAACAGCAGCAGCGGGTGGTTGTTGGTGACGTACCGGCACACCAGCTTCTCTTGGTTGGCAATTGGCTTGAAAGAAAACAACAGGAGATAAAACTGACTATTGGCAACAAACTGTAGACACTAAGCAGACAAGCTGAAAAACTTGTACTGGCAGTGGAAATGTTATTTATGATAAGATTAGCAAACAAATATATTTGCCTTATAGAGAAACAACAGGGCAGTCATAAGCTTCCCCAACTCCCCTTAGTCATCTCTTAAGATCCCCATGTGGGCTCCGGGGCCCCATTGTGGGGAAAACAAAAATAGGCCCACTGCTTCTCTAACAAGCATGTCATAGAAGTCAACTAATTGGGGACTTCCTTTAAAGTCAGAGTGCATCTGCCTGAGCAGCAAGGAACAACCAACTGTACACAAATAAGCCAGTTAAATGGATGTACATGCAAAACTCAGGTCCTGGCACAAAGCCAAAGTCCAAATGGATGAACAACCAGGACTTTCCACCACAGCTTATAGCCAATGAACGAAGATGAAGAAGATCTATTAAGACATGCATAATAGATTAAAGTGTTACAATTCTTTGTTTCCCTTATGGCTCCAGCAACCTGCAATAGCAGCATCTGGCAAAGCAGTTAGAACAATCAGCTACTGTAATGACACACTTTGTATCATTTAGCATAAAGGGGTATTGAAACAGATGATTAGATGTGCGAAAGAATTAAGGACTATCCTGTATTTCGTGCTGGGAAATATTGAATGGACAAGTGAATGTGAGCAAACCTGTGAGCCAAATTGATCCAAGAAGCCTATAAAGGCTAGGAATGGCCATATAGTAGTTATCGAAATGGATGCAAGATCGTTGACTACCAACAATGTCCAGTTTCAACAGGGACCTGAATTTGCCAGCTATTGTCTGCGAAGTGTGTGTATGCAAGACATTCTGTTAGATAATTATTTGTGTTGTTTGACAGCTGAGCTGAATGTTCTTTTCACTGCCACCCAAACAACGAACAATGACAGTGGACAGTGGACTTTGTATGGAACAACCATGAAATGTTTTGTTAGTGTTAAGCCTTGTGTTCCAGCCCATCTATCATCAAGTTCTGAGCGTAAACTTACGCTGTATACTGGGACAGCTGTAGTCCCAGCCCTTTGTAATGTTACTTGGCCAGCCTTAAAAAGCAAGCAACATTTGGGAGACAAGATCTGAATTCTTGGTAAAGTGATGAGTTCCTGTAGGGGGCGGTAATAAAATCTAAACCTGAAAAGTTAACGGTGACAGCACTAGCCATTCAACCCTCATTCATCAGGCTAAAAAATAACTCCCTGTCCTACACCACCCTGATAAAGTGGTACAAAAAGGGTAGTAAAAGACAGCAGGTAATGAGCAATGCAGTAGTCATCAACTAATTAAGGTCCCCTAAAACCCACAAACCATTATGTTGATAAAGCAGTTCCCTAATCTTCTTCTACTTCTTTGCGTTCACCAGCTGTAAACTCTGGTGAAAAGTTCTGGCTGTTTGTCCACTTCTGTACTGCAGTCCTGTTCCAGAACCTGAGTGTTGCGTGTGCATCCATCTGACAGATCTGACACATTTGTGTGCAGACTGTTGGTTCCTTGCCTCTCAGGCAGATGCACTCCGACTTCGAAGAAAGCTCCCAATTAGTGGACTCTTACGACATGCTTGTGGGTAGGCAGAAGGTCTATTCTTGTTTTCCCTATAACAGGGCCCCGAAACCCACACAGAATAGTTCCCTTATCTTCTTCTTCTTCTTCACGTTCACCAGCTGTAAACTCTGGCGGAAGGTTCTGGTTGCTCGTCCACTACTGAACTGCAGTCCTGCTCCAGAACCTGAGTGTTGCGTGTGCATCAGTTTTACAGATCTCATTCTCTTGAATACAGACTGTTGGTTCCTTGCCTCTCCAGCAGATGCACTCCGACTTCAAAGGAAGCTCCCCAATTAGTCGACTCTTACGACATGCTTTTGGGGAGGCAGTGGGTCTATTCTTGTTTTCCCCACAATGGGGCCCCGGAACCCACACGGGGGGGTTCCCTTATCAATCTCAGGATCTTTCATGCAGCAGCACACACTACTCTATCATACCATTATATCCTCTCCTCGACACAAAGCTTCGTAGGTGAGAAACTCCTCAGAGTTTCTATACTCATCTCTGCTGAGCTGATAGCCAGGTTTTTTGTCCGCCTGCAGCTCTTGTTTCTTGGTCTTGTCTTGCAACATGGCTTCAAAATACTTCTTGTTATTCACGGCTCTTTCGTGATTGGGCTCTAAAGGAACATAAGGAAACAATCACAATTAAAGGTACGAGATCAGCTGAAGTGTCACCCTGCCTTACTGGCCCTTCTTGTTTCCTGATGGGGATGCAGAGGTGCTGAACCACACATTGGGTTGCATTCAGAATCAGGGTTCATACTGGTCAGGAACTCCTCAGCCATCCTGGAAACAGATTCCCTACTGGGGGTCTGACCAAAGTAGATAGGTTCAACCATTTCCTTCAAAGTCAAAATGTATCGGCCTGAGATGCAAACAACCAAAAATCTACACACAAAAAAGCCAGATCTGAAAAAATTAATTTTAAAAAAATGGTGCTGTTCACAACTCCGGGCCCAAGATTAGAGTAACTTTCCTTGGACCTCTCCTATGTTGCGGGGGAGTTATGTTTTTCTTGTAAACAGTTTAACCATTGCCTCTTTTCTCGTCTTCTCACCACTCGCTTGCGTGATTATTTTTGCGGCGGTTCGGGTGTATGGAAACTAGGGCTGTACCGAATAGTGATTTTCACTATTCAGCCGAATATGTATAGCTGGTCCAACTATTCGGCCGAATACGAATAGTGAATCATCATCATCAGGTACTTAGCCGACTGGCATAAGCAATTATGCCTTGCCACAATCTGCGATCTCCTGCAGCATGTATTAGTTCGTGTACTGACACACCTCCATGCCATGCAACAAGACTGTCAAGAATCTTCTCTCCTTGTCTTCCTCTATCTCTCCTTCCCCTTATCTTTACAGTGGTCATCACATGTTCCATTTTCCCTCATTTTATAACATGGATGAAAAATGATGACTGTCTCCTTCTGATGTCTGTGAGTAGTTGTCTTCGTGCTCCCGCCTCTATCAAAACCTCTTGGTTGCTTTTGGCTGTCCAAGGTATTTTAAGCATTGTTCTGTAAAACCACACCACATCTCTGAGGCCTCAAAAAATTGTTTGGCCTGCCTACCGATTGTCCAGGACTCACAGCCATATGTTAAAATTGGATGTATATAGCAAGCAAGAATTCTTTTTCTAACCTTTAATGACAAAGATATATTGCATAAGATGTTCTTCATTTTTTAAAACGCAGTTTTTGCCTGTCCTATTCTGTTTCTTATTTCAGTAATGCATCTTCCATCTGATGTTATCCATGTGCGCAGATACTTAAATTTCCGTACTTGTCCAAAAATAAAACCATTGACTTTTATTACATACTAGCTGTACCCGGCCACGCGTTGCTGTGGCGTAATTTGAGATAGTCTTTGATCCCCCCCCCCCCCACCACCCCCCCATCCCCACAACTAAATCCACCTAGTACCCTCTCCCTCATCAAAGGTTTTTAGAAAAGAAAGACAATGGAAATCGCACCTGTCTAATGAAGTTAATGACGCAGTCAATGTCTGCGCCGACGTCGAGATAGTCCTTGATTGCCCCCCCCCCCCCACCCCCCTTTCCCCCCATCGAAGGTTGTTTGAAAAAAAAAAACAGAAAATAGAAATCGTGTTTAATATGGTTATTGTGGCAAATATAGAGATAGTCTTGTTTGCTGTACCACGACCTACTCTATGTATTAGTATTAGAGAAGGCGTTGGCTGCACGTAACTCGCCGGCGAATGGTAAATACGTCGCATGCGCAATTACTAACGTGGCTATAATTAGAAATCACTAAAGTTATAAATATTAGTTGCGTATATTTTGGCATAAATTGTGGTCACCTATCTCTAACAGTGACAGGTTGAATTTCAAACCACGACGGTTCAAAATCCGGTATCACAACAAACATATCCTGAAAATTTCAGCTAAATCGGTTCAGTAGTTTCCGAGTCTATAGAGACCAAACAAACACACAAACATTGATTTTTATATATATAGATAGATAGTCTGGTTTTCCAACTTTAGAACACGCACCATATAATTGTGTCTTTATATTAGTGGTCGTTTAAATGGTGTTATTAGCACGGTAACAAAAGTGGTTATTTGGTTATCACATGCTAAAGCTGTTTGTATTTTTATAGGAGACGGAAGTAAAGCTACAACTGCACTTGTAAATAACAAAGTAAATCGTAAAAAATAGAAAAGCGGAGGTAGCGTTAGTAAAATATAAACAAATTAGGTAATGAGAACTTGAAAATCACGTGTAAAGCTATTTAAGTTCTCTTAAATTTAAGTCATTACCCCCCTCCCCTCCCCTCTTCCACCGACTACTGCTCTCTCCCTCTTCGAAGGATTTGAAAATCACTAACTGGCGATATTTTGTTGTTGCTGTAACTGACATTGACATCCCTGTCCATCTGGACTAAAATAAGGAGCAGGAATTGTAAAAGGTAGTGAATAGGGCTACAAAAAAAAAAAAAAAAAACTTGAAAAGCAAATGAACACAGGAAAAAAACACCATAATTAGGAAATGAACGTCATTGTAAACAGCACAGCTTAAAATTCCAACACAGATGAAATAACTAAATCTAAATGAAAATAAATGAAAATCTATAAAATTTCAGCGTAACCATGCAATCGGAAAGTTTAACAATGCAATCATAAGTATGCGAAGTGGTCAAATTTAATTATCAAATGGTTTACCCATTTATTGTTTTTTTTTTTTTTTTATATTAAGGCAACATGGCTAGTGCTGTCACCACGACAGAGCAGATGAGGATATTATTTTAGTCCGGGGTAAAAAAAAAATTTAACTACTGCGGATTCGAACCCAGGTCTACCGCACTTGAACCCAGTGTTCTAACCATTCGACCAAGCAGCCACTTAATCGGAACAACGAAAAGAGAACACAACTATTAGACATATGTGTCTCTACCACTGTGTCGCGATTAAAACACAATTCAAAACCGCAGGCAATTGTTTTCTCATAGACAGATACTCCAGATATATTAATGAAATAGAAATAGCACGTGTCTAACACGGTTAATGAAGTTAATGTCGCAGCCACTGTCTGCGCCGACGTCGAGATAGTCCTCGATTGCCCCCCCCCCCCAATCGAAGGTTGTTTGAAAAAAAAAAACAGAAAATAGAAATCGTGTTTAATATGGTTATTGTGGCAAATATAGAGATAGTCTTGTTTGCTGTACCACGACCTACTCTATGTATAGTATTAGAGAAGGCGTTGGCTGCACGTAACTCGAATGGTAAATACGGCGCATGCGCAATTACTAACGTGGCTATAATTAGAAATCACTAAAGTTATAAATATTAGTTGCGTATATTTTGGCATAAATTGTGGTCACCTATCTCTAACAGTGACAGGTTGAATTTCAAACCACGACGGTTCAAAATCCGGTATCACAACAAACATATCCTGAAAATTTCAGCTAAATCGGTTCAGTAGTTTCCGAGTCTATAGAGACCAAACAAACACACAAACATTGATTTTTATATATATAGATTTAGGAATAATTATTTTCTTTGATATCAATATTACTTCTGTTTTCCCACTATTCAAACTGAGGCCCATTCTTTCACTTTCGAATACTGTAAAAAACATATCTTTTAAAAAAACATCCATAATGTCAAATCTACGGTGAAATTATACTTTACAAAATGTAGTACAGAAAAGTAAACGTTTAAAAAACATTTCATGTTTTGCTTCCTTCAGTCAGTCAGTCTATGGTAACTAATACCAAAGAATGAAAGTATTCCTAATTTTATAACAAGTAACTAAACTTGAAAATTGTCAATGACAGCTTAGTTAATCCATGAAAGCGGCATTAGCTTTCACACACACACAAAAAACTTCATTCCATGTTGTCAGCATTAGACAGCTTCTTGTCTCACTGAAGGTATTTCCAGCTGTACTAAACAGACGTTCACTTGTTACGCTCGTAGGTGGTGCACAAAGATAACGCTTGACAGTATGAGCCAAGGTGGGAAATCGTGATATGTTTATTTTCCACCAGTCCAGAAACGGGTGTAAGGTAACCACTATTCGTATTCGGTCTGACAGCAACTATTCGGCCGAATATAGTATAGTTATTAGGTCCACTATTCTGCCCCGAAGCGAATACAAAGCAAATATTCGGTACAGCCCTAATGGAAACAGCGATATTTTTCTATTCCTCCGCTCTTTGTAATTGCTTTTGTTGTCTCGGGGAAGGAAGCCACCACCGATAGACGTAGAAATGTAAAAACATCCTAGTTTCAATAGCCAAGAATCATCCTGCAGTACTTCTTGTATACAGACACCTGCAGTGCCTGAAATAGACTCACAACAACACAACCTCCCACAAACATTACATACGCAGAGCAAATGCCAAACCAAGCCATGTCATAACACCCCCCACAACATAGGAGAGGTGCAGCAACCTAAGGAAGCATGGATGGCAAGGGAAGTTGGCTGCCGGGAAGTTACGCTAATACTGGGCCTGAGAACGTTAAAAGGACCCCCCAAAATATCAACAGAACGAAATACTTTTTTAAGCAAAAACAAAAAAAACTTAAATGTAGAAGAATCTTTTCCCAGTCGTTATTACCTATGTTACAGCAGGCCGAAGAGGCATAGACATAAATTAGCAATTAGACAATACATTACCAACTACATTTCCTGAGATAGTCTCACCTAGTTTCAGCAGTTCAATTGTCAATTCCAAAGCATGGGCCACATCTCCAAGCTAAAATATGGACAGAAAAAAGAAGACATTTACAACTGAAAAACAAAACAAACAGTAAGCAAATGAAAACAAACTTCATACATAAAATGTGACAACCCTTTAACCCTGGTTGCTTAGAAAACAATACTAATTACCCATAATTAGTTAATTCCTTAAAAACAATGCTTAAAAAAAACAGTTTACACAGGCACACGCCCTGCCCAAATCATAATTCCATTTATGAAGCAAAATAATACAAATTCTACAAAGTACACAGAAAGTCATAAAAAAACACAAATGCAGTAGAGAATTAACTAGGTTACATCTCTGTGAGTCTACAGAGAAACTGTTTCAGTGACATAGTTTTTTTTTTTACTTCATGACCCAGTTGCAAGTTAACACTGTGACCAATGGGGAAATTTATATTCATAAAACCACATTCTTTTTCTGTTCTTAAGGCTTTCAGAAAATGGTATGAAAGTCTCACCATAAAAAAGATTTAGGACCTCACCAAGAAATACTTCCATACCTAGCAGTGGATACACTTCAACCACCCTCCACTGTAGAAATGATATCGCTGCTTCCATTTGCTCTTTTCACATCCCACCTGAATGCTGTCACTCAGTTTTCAAGTTTATTTCTTTTCATTACAAGTCTGACAATTTACATCCAATTACTCCATGACATCTGTCACTGAGGCTTCTGGGAAAATTTGCTGTCAATATGGCTTTAAAAAGTCATTTGATTCATATGACTGGCAAATTCTTGACGTTTGCACGTATGCCAGATGTGTTATACCGAGCAGCACAGATGTGTGCTCCTACAGTCATGTTGCCTCTGCTCCTAACTAAAGTACAAAGATGTTTGTTTGTTTATATTCTGTCAATACTGTCTGTATTTACTACTGTTGTGGTGTAGGCACAAGAAAAAGGGGAGGGGGCAATGAGCCTGAAGATTTGGGTAGCATGGCTAGTGCTATGGCCATGGATTGTGTAAGTCAGGATTTTATTTTTGCCCCCGAAAGAAAAAATCTGCCACCTTACCGAGGAATTGAATCTGGTTATCCAGCGTGAGAACACAGAATACTTAGCCGTTCGGCCAGCTGCTCTTCTGCCTATTCTGTCTATACTGTTCCTAATTTTCTAGCTCTCAGCCTTCCAAACATTAGTGTGTCAGCTGCGATGTGAAGGCACGTCTAAAGAACTTTATTGCTGTTATTCATAAACTATAACAATGACATTGAAAATATTAAGTACTGTCAATATACAAAAAGGTTTTTTTGAGCTGGGTTGTGTCAAACACTGTTATTATGTCTTTTTGTTTTCTTAGCATTCACTGGTTGTAAACTGAGGTGGAAAGTTCTGCTTGTTTAACCCCCTCTGGATTATGTTTTTTTTTTTTTCTTTGGAACTTGGGTTTTGTGTATACATCTGTTATACTGATCTGGCTTATCTGTGTGCTGATTGTTGGCTCATCACTTCTTGGATGCACTCTGACTTTGAAGGAAACAGGGACTTTGTTATTACAATTTATGTATATACTCATAGCACTTATAAAGGTTTGTTTAACCTCTGCCTGCTAGTAGACTGAATTACTGTGTGCCCCCACACACACACACAAAAAGAGAGTATCATCAACAGAAAGAGTTCTGAAAGCTCCACTGTAGGTTACCACAATACTCAGTGGCACTTCTCATCTCATAATGTGACCCAAAATGTTTGTTTTGACTTTAAACTGGCAAAAATCTGCCTTTTGTCTGGTAAATGTTTGACAACATGGTATCAGAGCATTTTGGTTTTTAGTTTTTTAAACCAATTTCAAGAGCACCTAGCCAAGTCTCTCTCACTCTCTCTTTCTTTCCCCCCACCCCCTTCCATTTGCTCTTTCTTCATACACTCCCCCCCCCCCAACCCTCCTTTCACCCAATGATATGTTTAGTTTCTTTACCAGAAGGGATAACAATAACTGTGATTGTTATGCAATAACAAAAATATGCACTAAACACTTTTTTTCAACATGTTCAAGTATCTCGTTTGTATAATATTCATGAGTCCAAGATACACGAGAATCATGCTTTTCAGTGTGAACAAAGATAATAAATAAAGTCGACACTTATCAATAGTCTTTAGTCCTCTTGCCAAAAAAACAATAAAAAAATTAGGTCACATGACCTTGTGGATTTTCAGAACAAAATCCTTTTTTTTTTTAAACTTAAAAAAAAAGCCACAAACATTTGAACATGTCACCAACAAATTTGTTAAACATTTATTTGTGCAAATTTTACTTTTTTTTTCAAGATGAACATATGATACTAAGGGTGTAATTAATAAACATGAACAGAGTGAAGCATTAAACTGATTACATTCACAGAGGTCTGAAAAAATTTGATCCCATGACCTCTATTACTAGCACTTATGCAAAAATATGACACCAACCTTGATTTAATTAAAACAAATTTTTTTTTTTTAACGAAATGCTATTTAAGTAAATGTATTCATATCTTGACCTCCTAAATGTTTGTGCAGGCATGTTAACTGCCAACTGAATCTCAAAGAAAAAAAAGGTCATTACTCAGAAGTCGGAAAAGTTATTTTGGAGAACTTGACCCAACTGCAAGTGTCGGTTTCGTGGTTTCTCAAGAGAAAAGATTGAGATGCATAAAAAACCAACATCATAGTAATCGGTAAGTTCCTAAAGTGTGCAATCCCTATTTTCAGCAGCAGGCACAGAGTTCCAATTCTGACGGTACCAGTCATCTAAGACAAGATGTATGAAGTCACCTATCTGTTCCAAACAATTCCTCCAACGTAAACTGTGCTGAACCCATTTTTACAAGGTTAGGTCGACCCCAGACCCATACTGATTAGAAAGAAATCCTGCCTCTGCCTCTACTCAGAAAGTGAATACGATACCCTGTGTGGGTTCCAGGTCCCCATTCTGGGGTTAAACAAGAATAGACCCATTGGCCCTCTAACAAACGTCATAAAAGTCATCTCATTAGGGGTGTTTCCTTTACAATCGGAGTGCATCTGCACAAAAAGCGAGTAACTAACAGTCTGCATACAAAAAAGCTAGATCTGTAAAACAGATGTGCATACAAAACTCGAGTTCTGGAACAAGACCAAAGTCTAGAAGTCGGTGAACAACCAGAACTGGCCACCCAAGTTTGCAGCAGTGAACGCTAAGAAAAAGGAAGAACACAGACGGTCCTGGCAGGTGAATGCATCAATTACTATACCGCTGTGATTTCTCTTAGCTTCATATTATGATGCAATACCAAAAATTGTGTTATAAAAATTGTCAAACCTAAAAAAATTATTTCCAGAACCAGGCCTTGACTTATATTGTAAGTAAAAATACCTAAGGCCGGTATATGCCTAGCTCAAAATTAAGCGAAAATTCTTTGGGTTGTCTTTACAATAGGACATCTTGTATAACGCAAATGAAAGTAAATAAAATCACTAATTTCCCTTTCAGATTTACTCTAATTTGCAACAACTGGAATGAAATCACATTCTGAATAGTGAGAGGTATACAAGTGATTCTGAATTGTAAGCTATCAATTAATATGTACCTGCATGTGAATCTTAATTGTAAGTTATCGTATATAGTAATATGTACCTGCATTCAAACAATGTAATAAATCAGTCTCATTAAACATCAGAAAACGAGTACTAAAATGTTATATTGAGCATTGTTGTATGCCAGTGGATCCTGGGATGTGAGCAAGCAAATTAAGAAGTCTGGGGGTAACTGAGGTGGTTCTTGAGAAGAATGTTGTGAATACCTTGGACTGACAGAATAACTAATAATGATTGCCTGGAAATAGCTACAGAAAATAGAACATTATTTACAACAATAAGGAGACAAACATAGTTCTTTGGTCATGAGATGAGAAAATGATCACCGGAAAATATTATGATGACTGGAAAGATCACGGGTAGAAGAGGCAGGGGCAGACCAAGAGAAACAATGGTGGATGGTTTAAGACAGTGGGCATGGAGGAATATCATCAGTGGAAGTGATCCAGAACACCAAAGACTGAGATCTGTGGAGATGCATGAACACCTACACCAGCTGACAAGGCATTTGATATGACGATACAAACAATGACGCTACAAAAGCATCCTGTTATGAGTATAGATATTCTCAACAACCCAACTATAAACATCTGCCACAGATCAAACAGTTGACTCAAACATTTCTGAAACCCATCTTATTAAACCTCTATCAGCTGTGCATTCATGTTAATGTCCTAACCCTTTGAGCAGCAACCAGCTCACCATATGTTCATTAGCTGTTCCAAAGATAATATGACATCCCTGCTGTCTTCTATCACAGACAGTTCACATATTAACCCTTTGTATCGGAATTATTTGTTTAACTACTACTGCCCCAAAATGTCTTTGCTGAACTCCTTCAGGTTTAGATATTTATCAATGCATAAATATTTTGAACAGAAGGGGTTGAAAAAGTAATAAATGTGTGGGACTGAAAGAGTTAAACACAACCTTGGGCCTCTGAGGTTTCAGTGATGATACGAGGAGTGAGAACAACAAATATTCTGACAGTGTCGGGTCTCAAGAATACACAGGATGTTCCACGGCAGTTATTTTTTGTGTTCATAGATACTGCTTCAATTTTCACGGAAGCTCAAATTTTTTGGTTACATCAAGTGTCAGGGAGGATTGGAAAACAAAAAATTTAAGGAAGGCATGGTACCAGGAAGGAAGGGCAGGGGCTGACCAACACGAAGATGGGCACAGGATACAAGTGACTCCTTGAATATGAACGTACACAAAGTGAGACAGCTGTCGAGACATTGTTTTCTTCAGGGAAATTGTGATGGCAGCGTTTGTTTGGCAAAGGACCTGCTACATGATGACAGATACCGCTTCGATTTTCACAAAATGAAGAATTTTCTATGAAATCTTTTTTCGTCAACTGAGCTGAGAAAGAGAATTTTCAGGAGCTATGTAAATCACTGACAGTTGTTTGGTTAGTGAAAAAAAAATATGCAGTGGAGATATGGTTTTACAGACGAATGAGAGCCACTTGGACAGATAAAGAGTAATGACAATGTATTCAAAGAAACACTCATGAAGAGAACTAACTGACCACATCAGAAGGAGACTATTTCCATTCATTGGTCCCGCCACATGAAGGAGACAACTGGAGTACATCATGACAATGGAACAACTGTAAGGAAAGAGTTCGAGAGAGACCGAGAAAGAAGATGCTGGACAGTTTGACATCATGGCAGGGAAAATCACCTGTGTCAGAAATTACTAAAAGTACATGAGACAGAAGGTTGTGGATAGACATAACTACCAAAGCCACATGGCATGAACTTTAAGAAGTAGATACTGCTTCAACAGTTAGGATGAATTTGCTGGCACAGTTTAATGTAGAAGAATCCAACTTTAATTCCCTCTCTGGTCCTTTCCTTTTGATCATACTGATAATAAACAGATCACCCTACTTTTCTTCTTCTTTTTATTTCCCAAATGAAGTACAGACTGTGAAGAACTGGCACCAAGCTCTTTGCAGACTTGCTTGATTCATAACTAATTGGGCTGTGAAGCTAACACTGTCTATAAGAAGAGACAGCCAGTCCCATACTGACCTTCCTCAGCTACTTCTTAGTTCTTTCTGTCCCAAGCCATGCACTGTGCGTGCTCAGTTATGTCTGTGAGTACCAACTCAACACATGGCTTTTTCCTTTTTTTTTTTTAAATTATTATTTTATGTCTGGTCTGGGTATGCAAAAGAAATCTGGCCTAACAGGTTAAATAAAGCAGCACAGTAGATGCTGTATCTGTAAAATGTTATAAACTGACTGCTTTTTCCCTGTGATGACTGTGCCAAACTGGGTTCTACTTTGAAACCATCTAGGATTGAAATAGTCAGGACATGCATAAGTAGAGCGCAGGTCACTATTCTTTGCATCCCTTCATGATTAGGCATGGGCAAAACCCAATGCAGCACCATCACTTTAAATCTTTACTTCTTTTTCTTCTTTGGTTCACTTGAAATAGATTATCTATATCTGCAACGATGTCTCTAGTATGAACTTAACTGTCTGTTGTAATTCACTCAGCGACCCGTATAGTTTGGCTTGCAACAATGTTTCTATTGGCCAAAAGTTTTGCCTTGATATGTTGTATTTGGGACAGTTAAACCTTTATTAAACTGAGAAGAAAAATCAACAGATGACTGATGTGCACTGCAAAAAATGAACATTTAAGATCATCAGTTCCCATGCAGGAGGAGCTCACCATTGCCTTGGTGTAGGAGAGATAGTCAAGAATCTCGCTTTTGCTGGCAGTTTTCTGCAGCTCCTGTGAGTCCCTCTCCAGAGCCGCCTGCATCCACAAGCTGCTGTGATAGTAGTCACTTTCCACATAGCTGAGTCTTCCCAGCAAAAAGCAGTCCTCAGCTGGGAGCCAGGTAAGGAAAGTACACAGGTTACCATTATAATCTCAAGCACTGTTTAGCTGCGATGAGGACTTCCACACAATCAATGCAATCGGGGAAAATCTCTCCTTTCTTGCAACAACATTACATGAGCCAGGCAGATGTTAATCCAGTCTTTTCAGTAGTCCCATGCAAGAAGTAATCATGTTAGAACAACTACAGGCTGCATGAGTTCTCACTACAGTAAAAACATTATAGAGATAAAGGGAATAAGTAAACACATCTTTAGTAGTTAGTTGTTAACACCATGCAATATGTTTCAGATCATCACAGATGAGCAGGAGTTTGCAGGGCCTTGTTCTACAGTACACTTCTATGCATCTTACATCATAGTGCTAGACATCTCATACTAAAAAAACGCTGCCAGTTATCTCATTCTAGTGGCACACTGCTATATATCTCCCTCTAGAAGAACACAGCTTTATATCTCCCTACAGTATATTACACTACTCTATATCTCATTACAGTACATCACACTGCTGTATTTCTCACTACAGTACATCACATTGCTGTATATCTCACTACAGTACATCACATTGCTGTATATCTCACTACAGTACATCACATCTATATTAATAAAAATGTTAATTTTCGGATGATGTAAGCTAAAAACTCGGAAACTACTGAACCGATTGCTTTCAAATTTGCACACAACGTTGCTTCTGACTCCAAGCCTGATTTTTTGTCAGAAAATCGCACAAACCACGAACGACGTAGCTCCAGCAACGGTCAAATCATTATTTGTTTAGTTGCCGGCCCGGATTTGTTTTTATGTGATCGGCCATATTTGACTGCTGAGCTCTTATTGAACTTTGCATTATTATATAATTTCATTTCCACTATTCGCTTGAGTATTTGGTAGCGTAGTTGTTAACTATTCTGCCTCTCATGCAAGGTGACCCGCGTTCGATTCCCCGCTAGGTGATATAATTTTTTTAGCCCTTAACTGGGCAGCTGGCACATTGTGTTGTGGTTTATGGCTAGGCTGCGATATCTACGCCTTTTTCGGTTTTGGGGTTTACAATGGTCAATGGTCATGTCATAGGTAATCTTCGTTCGCCCTCGAGAGGGCCGTTGGCACGTTGTGTTGTGGTTTACAGCTAGGCTGCGATATCCGATCTAAACTCTTCAGTCGTCGGTAGTAAAGTTGTAAGTATGTCATCTTTCACTTGAGTGACCAGTGTTCGATTCCCTGCTGGGTGATAATTGTTCTTTTCCCCCTAGAAGGGTGGTTGCCACGTGGTGTTGTGGTTTACAGCTAGACTGCGATATCTGCGCCTTTCGCCCAAAGACATCCGATTTCAGTTAAGTCCTAATTAGCCTCTCGGCGATGCTTCTCGATCAAAAACTATTTGGCAATGACATAAGCTGTTAACTAAGACGGCTTACAGTCCAGTTTAGTCCGTGGTGACAGCATGCGGCGCTAACTCCTCTTTTCTACACCGACCTACACAGACTGTATTGACAGTTTTTGTTGTTGTTGTTGTGATGGTGGTTGTGGTTGTGGTTGCAGTAGTACTGGTACTGGATGGGTGGTGTGGTAGCTGTTACACTGGCTACATTTACTTCTCTGTACAAGTTAATGCTACCTATTTAAGTCTGGGTAGACACGGATGCAAAGCTAAATTTAGTTACAATATTTCGTTACATGGTGACTTTCCTATCCTTCGGAGAAGATGATATGATGGGGGGTTTATGCCAGACACTGTTAGCTGAGAGAGCTTAAAATATTATTTTAAAGTTCTCATTTCTTAACTATTTCTATTTTAACAATTTCGCTATAGAGGATTTTTCAATCCTTCAGAGAGGGAGATATGACTTCGCCAGGTGATGATTTTTCAATCCTTCGGAGAGGGAGATATGATTGGGGAAGCGCGAGGAGGGGGGGTTTATGCCAGTCACAGTTAACTGAGAGAGCTCAAAATATTATTTTAAAGTTCTCATTTCTTAACTATTTCTATTTTAATAATTTCTCAATCCTTCGGAGAGGAAGATATGACTGGGTTGAGGGGAGGGGGATATGACAGACACTGTTAGCTAAGAGCTTATTTTCTTTCCTCTCGATTTCACCATTCTGGGCCACAGCAACGTGTGGCCGGGTACAGCTAGTTGCTTTATAACTCACTACAGTATATCACACTGCTCTATATCTGACTACAGTATATCACACTGCTTAATATCTCACTACAGTATATCACAATGCTTTATATCTCACTACAGTATATCACAATGCTTTATATCTCACTATAGTATATCACAATGCTTTATATCTCACTAGTTTATCACAATGCTTTATATCTCACTACAGTTTATCACAATGCTTTATATCTCACTACAGTATATCTCACTACAGTGTATCGCACTGATTTATACCTCACTACAGTATATCACAATGCTTTATATCTCACTACAGTTTATCACAATGATTTATATCTCACTACAGTATATCGCACAGCTTTATATCTCACTACAGTATATGACACTGCTTTATATCTCACTACAGTACATGACACTGGTCTATATCTCACTACAGTACATGACACTGCTCTGAATCTCACTACAGTACATGACACTGCTCTATATCTCACTACAGTACATGACACTGCTCTATATCTCACTACAGTACATGACACTGCTCTATATCTCACTACAGTACATGACACTGCTCTATATCTCACTACAGTACATGACACTGCTCTATATCTCACTACAGTACATGACACTGCTTTATATCTCACTACAGTACATGACACTGCTCTATATCTCACTACAGTACATGACAGTGCTTTATATCTCACTACAGTACATGACACTGCTCTAAATCTCACTACAGTACATGACAGTGCTCTATATCTCACTACAGTACATGACAGTGCTTTATATCTCACTACAGTACATGACACTGCTCTAAATCTCACTACAGTACATGACACTGCTCTATAGCTCACTACAGTACATGACACTGTTCTATATCTCACTACAGTACATGACAGTGCTCTATATCTTACTACAGTACATGACAGCGCTTTATATCTGACAACATTATATCACACTGCTCTATATGAAGAAAATCTTACATAAAATTCAACACTCCATTGTTAGAAAAATTGCATTACATTATCTTTTGGTCCAAAATGCACTTACATTACTGATCAATAGAAATATTACATAACATTCAACATTCCATTACTAAGAAGATTGTGTTATCTTTTTTTTTTTAGTCCAGAGTGCACATTCCTTACAGACCAGTAAAAAATCTTACATAACATTCAACATTCCGCTATAATCAACACAATTTTACTGAAGCACGACTGCTGGCTCTTGTTAGTACACAGGTAAAGATAGTCAATATGGAGGACAGGCAAATTTACTGTTTTTAGTCGTGGCAAGCTTTTGCTGACAACAGTTGGCCTTTGCATTTTTCTCCATATGCAGACTGAAAAGATATAGTTTCATCACTCAGCTACTGAATTGAGTGCCTGGTGTGACACTGTGAGCTGCATATTTCATTTAGAAAGTTTCTCGGCTGTGCCTAACATGGCCTATGTTGTGAACTGTAGATTCAGAAAATAGTGAGTGGCATGCTGCCACAGAACTGGTGGTGCCTTATGTGATTTAAAACGCGTGCAACTACTGATCTGTTGTAACTGCTGCTTCTATTGATGACTAATTGCATTTATAGTGTCTGACCATTTGTGTTAGCACTTCTGACGGCAGCCTTATCTATTGAATGTTTGTGAATGCTACTGTGTATGCTGAGACTGCAGTTTGTGTTCATTTTTCCCAAGGGACAGTGATGGATATTCTGTGTGGTTTTCACTGGCACACGAGTGAAGCAACTATTACATGACTCGTTAAATGTTGAAACTGCGTTTACCTGATTACCTGAAAGATAGTCGCATAGCAGATACTCTTCTTAAGTCATGAAGTGTCAGACTATACCAAATACTTAGCCACTGATTGAGATGGGGCGACCAGTTCATTTCCTCAACTATCCTTCCCCGTCAACGGGAAACTGATCATTATCAAGTGCACATTTTGTAAGACTGAGCCACCTGCCCTTGTCAGTGGCCATTGAAAGAAATTTATATTTCCAGGACTCTTGCTACAGTTAAAGACAGAAATAATTCACTGTCTCCAAAAGGTCATTATAGAGAGGGTTATAAAAAGGCTGTGCCTGAATTACATCAAAAGACAGAAGAAAATGGTTTAGTCATCTAATACAAATGCAACCAGACTGTATTTTATATGAGACCTTCTACAGAACAGCTGCATGGAAGGTGAGAGGAAGACTAAGAAAAATATGGATAGATGGTGTGGCTGATTCCTGCAAAAAGATGAACAAATCAATAACTAAAGTCACTCCAGAAGCCAAGACAAAGAAATAAAACCATGACACTAAACTAGAATCCATCAAAAGTGTGTCAAACAAGAGAGAAATAAAAGATAGAAGTGAATACATTATATTTTTTGGTTAAACATGTAACATGAATAAAAACAAATGTAATTACTGAATAAGAACACAGTAAATCAGTATCCACTGTTAGCAGGAGCAATCTACTCTGGCAATCTAAAAGGTTTTCAAAGGCTGAGGACATAGCCTAAAGCCATGTGGATGAATGTGGAAAGCAAGGGGAAACTACCACATAATTATCCCAAGAAACTCATTACAGAAATTTTAGTTACATCAAGTGCCATGGCAGATGGGGGGTGGGGGGAAATAACAGCAGAAGGCATGGTACCAGGAAGGAGAGGCAGGGGCCAACCAACACAAAAATGGGCACAGGATAAAAGTGACTTCTTGAATATGAAAGTTCACGAGGCGGGAGAGCTGACGGGAGACCAAGTATCTTTCAGGCAGACCATGAAGAGAGCGATGTTTTGCAAAGGACCTGCTACATGATGATGATGATATAAATCATTAATCTGATGATACAATTAGTTCATCAAAAGGAAGAAACATTTCAATGCAGGAAACAAATATATAAAGCAACTGGGCACACAGCATAAACATATTCTCACCTTATACTGAGAAAATGCTAGATAATCTAGAATGTCTGCTTGGACTGAATCTACTTCTGAAGAAATGTGTCCATTGCCCTCAATTCCTGGTGCTCTTCTGTCATTATGGTTCTTTCTGTGCTCACTAAGAGCCTGCTCCATCCAGAGCACTGTATGGTAGAAGTCCCCGGCATTGTAGGCGAGTCGGCCCAGCTCAAAGCAATCCTCAACTGATCAGCAGCAAACAATATCACCCAGGGTTAAAGAGTCAAGGTTAGCTCACACAGGGTTATGGTCATTCATGTATCATGCATCACACTCTCTCAGAGGGCCATGCTGGTTACATACAAGATGCTGAAACTGTCATGCTGTTGCTTTTTTGTTCATACAAACAATACTTCAACAAAGTCAAACAATGCAATAGAAGACAGAGTAACAACAGTAAAATCCTGTGAGGCATGATAAAATGGAACATATCTGTGTGGTGTCAAAATGGGCAGTAAATATGGAATACGAAGATGATGGTTTCACCTTGTTCTCACAACAGAGCAATGGACTTCTGAAACGTTTCCGGTCAAAATGGACGATAGGCACGGTCACTGTTTTTAGCCGTGGCACATTTTTTGCTTCTGACAGGCAGTGGCCGTTGCATTTTCCTCCATTTGTAGACTGAAAGGGTATAGTCTGGTTGCCTGCTATTGAGTTTAAAGCACGACGTGACACTGTGAGCTGCAGATTTCATTTGGAATGTTTTTTCAATTGTGACCAATGTGCTGTTAGGGACTGTAGATTCAGAAAATGGTGTATGGCCTGTTGCCACAGAATTTGTGGTGCCTTGCGTGATTAAATTATATGGCGTGGGTAACTGCTGTTCTGTTTGTAACTTCTGTTTCTATCAATGATGAACTGCATTTCTAATGTCAGACTGTTAGTGTTAGCACTTCTAATGGCTGCCTAATGCTTCTAATGCGTGTGTGGATATGCTTAGACTGCAGTCTGTGTCAATTTTTCCATTTTCCTTGGCACAGAAATGGAGCAACTACCGGGTGATCCATCTTCTGTGAAGCTGAAACTAAGATTACCAATGGGCTTCTTCTCTTCTTTTCTCTATTCCTTGAATGCCTTGCAGGATCAGGGCAGGAACAGTTGTCTCAAAATACGACCTCCTCTTCTGTAAATCCATATTTCCAGGGACAATTTTATTTTCTAGTTGCTTGTTTATTGTCCAAGTTTCCACACCATATAGCAGGGTTGAGTATAGGTAACATTTGACGATTATAATTAAGTAATTGCTTATCTCACTAGCTGTCAATAATTTGTTTGCCCTTAGTGAAGCCAGTTTTAGCCATTTCTATTCTCTGATATGTTTCACTTCTGCCATCATTTTACTGCGTGTCCATGATAGCAGAAACTTGACACTTGTTCTAATATCTCACAGCAGACTGTGATGTTTCACTGTTGGTAGCTCTTTTCCATTGTTAATTACCATAGTTTTTGTTTTTTGAATGCTAATGTCCAAACCATATTCTGCACTCCGCCTGTTGACTTGATCCACAAGGTCTTGTAACTCCTGCTCACTCTTTGCTAGTAGCTCTGTGTCATCTGCATATCTCAGTCTGTTTATTATTCTGCCATTAATATTCTGTTGAAACAATTCTCCCAAAAATTGGTTTTTAAACAAAATTCTGTATATAAGTTGAAAAGCTTGGGGTTAACACACTTCCCTGACATACTCCTCTTTTTATCTCTATCTGTGATGAGATTATATTTTTGTGTCTAACTGTTGTTGCTATTTGCTCCCAGCACAGCTAATAATTCTGACATCCTTTCCGTCTAAACCTATATTTTGGAGGCATGCTTTCCATGCTGCACCCTGTAAGGGACCTTCTTGTAATCCATAAAACAAGCACACATACTATTTTGTTTAACTTCTAGATATTTTCCAGCTAGCATCTTTAGACAAATTATGGTATCCCTAGTGAAACTATTTCAGTGAAACCCAAAGTTGTTGAGTCAATGAGACCCATTTGATAAAAGTGTGCTCTGAATCCCTTCTGTTCTATGCAATTTTGCCAAACTTAATTTTAATTTTGTTCTCTCTCATTCTTCTTATTCTTTGCATTCGCCAGCTGTAAACTTCGGCAGAAAGTTATGGTTGGTTGCCCACTTATGGGCTTTGATCTTGTTACAGAGCTTGAGTTTTGTGTGCACTTGTATGCAGTTTGCTGTGGTTCTCTGCCTCACAGACAGGTGCACTCTGACTTTGAAGAAAACACTCCTGATTAGTTGATTTTACGATATGCTTGTTAGGAGGGCAGATAGTCTAATCTTTATCCCCCTCACCAGGAGGCCCTGGAACCTACATGTTGAACTCTCTGATTCATCTTCCTAGATTGTCTTCAGAGTTTCTTTGCCTCTTTAAAGCTCTGGTATGAATGGGACTGCAAAGAGGTTTCAGGCAGACTTTGCAAGCTCACCAGCTTTTTCATTTCAGAGATATCACAAAGAGCTGGGTGGATATATTGCAGATTTAGTTCTTTTTCATATGGACAGCAATCTAATGTAGCAGTTAGTTCATATCTACACTGGTAAGATGTTTAAGTGTTTTGAATTGGTATATTTACTTCTTCTGCATTTGCAGCTGGCATGTTGTGTTGTCATTTACAACTGCGAAATCTGCGCCAAGTTCAGCAAAAGCTTTATTAGTCGTCTGTTACAAAATACTTGTCAAGTGGACATTGTCCCCCTCACCCCCTTTTTCAACAAACTGGGTCATGAGCCCACATGCAGAGTATGTTTTTTATTTCAGCTGAAAGGATTCGAGTATGTTTTTTATTTCAGCTGAAAGGATTCATTTGTTTGCTTCATCTTATTTACTGACGTAATATGAATCTGACAAGATACAGTGACATCTGACAGCACACCCTAACTTCCTCTTCTTTGCATTTACTGGCTGTAAATTCCAGCAGAAAGTTGTGGCTGTTCGTCCACCTATCAACTTTAGTCTTGTTCCAGAACCTGAGTGCACATCCATTTCATAGATCTGACTTATCTGTAAGCAGGTTGTTGGTTCCTTGCCTTTCAGGCAGATGCACACCAACTTGGAAGGAAGGTTCCAATTAGTCTACCCTTTTGACATGCTTTTTAGGGTAGCAGCAGGTCTATTCTGGTTTTCCCCACAACAACAGGGCTTTAGAACCTATTTGGAGAATACCCTACCTGAAAGGACAGGAGACTTCAGCCCAGCCAGTTTACCCTGGGCGACGGTTGAAGCGTCCAACTGATAAGTGTCTTGTAGGCGCATCAAAGCTGCTGCAGCACCCTTGAGATCCTCATAGGTAGGCAGGTCCACCCTGACTTGATCAATCTGCTGACTCATCGCTAGGGACCACAGACAGAAATGGCAAAATGTAATCAAAATACCAATATTTTTTTTTTAAGTAAGCAAATAAATCCAAAACTATATGATGACTACTTTATGCTACTTCTTTAACATAAATTATCAGAATAACCAGATTTAAGTACAATTTATGGGATAAAAGAAGTAGAAGCAGTGGATCAAGAATGAATGAAAGAATACATGAGTGAATAAATAAATGAATCAAATAGGGCAGTGATTCCCAAACTGTGCGCTGCAGCGCCCCCGGGAAGCCGCAACCTCTTCACAGGGGCACCGCGAAATATTGTAAAAGCTTTATAATTAATTTAACCAAGACAGGAATAGTCATACTTTTAATTAGGTTAGGGTGCCATGGAAAATTTTAATTGAAAAAAAGGGGCCGCGACCAAGAAAAGTTTGGGAAACACTTAAATAGGGAACTAACTGCACTCAGGACATTCCTATATATGCTCTGTCCCCTTTCCTCAATCATCATCAATCAGCAAGTCCTTTACAGAACGTTGCTCTCTTCACGGCATGCCTGAAAGTATCCCTTTCCCTAGCTCCATGTGCTTTCAATGCCAATGCATCTTTAATGTCTTGTATCCATCTTCACTGTGGTCGACCCCTGCCTCGGCAAACTGCACCTTCCATCACTGTCTTTTCCAAGCCACCATGACGCTTGATGTGGCCAAAATACTTCAACTTCCGGGACGGGATGCTGTTTATGAGCCAGTTCTCCTCCTCGTTCAGAATGTCTATCTTTTTTCCTCTTCCTGGTCCATAGTATTCTGATAACTTTTCTATAACATTCTTTCCTCAATAGCCAACAAGAATTTCTGATGATGCCAGTTTCAGCTTTATTAAAAGTTTGTCTCTGTGTGTGTGTTTTTTTTTCCTTTGAGAACAGAAAATTGTGCAGACCATCTGCTCACTCTCAGCCAAATCTTTCTCTCCAGATATGGATGATCTTGTCTCTTTTGCTGCACTGTTTACTCAATTTCTGAGAGCCTTCACGATGTCAGCTTTATTGCAAAGTAGCTCACCACCCAGAGGGGTGGTGGCAGCTAATCTATCAGCCTGCTCATTACCATGTACACCAGAACATCTTGGCATAAAATCCATGATATGCTTCTTATAAAGTGATTGAGACCACTCTGAGTACAAGACACCAGTTTCTATTTTCTTAAGTACACTCTACGAGTCAGTTATAATCACAGTATGTCAGGTTGTACCAGAATGTTACATCCAAAGAAACATTAACGTTATCTTCCCTACATAACATTATACACCATTATTAAACATACCATTTTGATCACTGCGTTTAGATAAATCAAACATGAAATTGAAAAGGTAAGCAAAATTGCTAGCTTCACAATAAAAAATTTAATTTAAAATGAAGATATTATAAATTGCATCTGAGTAACTCCCTGGACTGAAGTCACAGAGAGACGACAAAAAAATGGATTGAGCATCTTGTGGGAATGAAATTCAATCAGCTACCACTTCGTCAAAAGGTCAACTGACAACTTTTCTGCCTTGTGAACTGTACTGGCCAGGCTGTCCTTGATATCCCGTGTCCCCCATTGAGCCGGTATATCTTGTCTCTTCATTCAGGAATCATACCTTTCGTTATTGCCTGTCCACACCATTATATTGTTTTATATGGCCAAATATTTAAGGTAGCAGAAAAGACATTGTTCATTATTATTTCTAAATATTTTGATCAAACATTTAGCTCATGAAAACTTAACATTCTGTCAAAGTCATAACAGTCACTGACCCTCCCAGGTTCCATTGGAGATGACAGGAATGACATCCCTGTCCCAGTCCAGAGTAAACCTTTTGATCAGCAAGAAGGCGTTGATGGGATTGCCAAGGAATGCATCTATGTTCTCCAGTGCTGAACTGCTGTGCCTTTCATAATCATCAGCCAGCCTGTGGAGCAATCATTAAAAGCAACAACTTTAATCTTTGTATACTGCATGCCACTTGCAGTAAGAAGAAAAAAAATTAAGACATAGCATACCAGAGTCAGTCTACTAACTCCCCAGGGAAAAGGAAACTACATGAACCTTGGCCACTGCAGACAACTTTATCATTCATGCCATCTCACAACCTCCCACACAGATGTTCCTGAGTACATGAGCTCTGAACCTAGAACTCATCTTTCAGGACTGGCCACTTCAGACTACTTGGCCATCTATGCCACCTCACAACCTCCCACACAAACGAATGGAACTGGAGTTGCAAACTCCACAAATTTCCTTTAATTCTACCCAAGGGCGTCAGCATCTGTGGCCTAGGTGCTGCGAATGCGCTTCGTAACCCCGAGGTACTGGGTTTGATCCCACCTGCAGGCCATTTGATAGCAGAATGTCTTGTTTTGGTTTCGACAGTGGCACGGAGAGCTAACCATCCAGTAAGCAATGGCAAACTAGTCAACAAAAATTTGCTTAAAAAAACTACAACAGCCAAAAAATGCTGGGACTAGTTGTGAAACGTTCTATAAAGGATACGCAACTAACTTTTTTTTTAACTACCCAACTTACGGATTTCTGCATTGCCACATGTGGTTAAAAATATGCAGATCTGAAAGATCAATGTTTGGGTTCTCACAATACCCAAGCAAGACAAACTGTATTTTATTCTGGCAATAGGAAACCAGATGACATGTCTCTGGACTGTGTGGGTTCCAAGACCCCACTTTGGGCAGGAAAAGAGCATGATGTTCAAAAGGTGACTAACTAGAGTTTTGCTGAAATTGGATGTGCTGGGTTAAAAGCGGCAGACATCCAGCCAAGCTGTAAACCTCAAAACAATGTGCTAACAGTCCTTTTAAAGGTGAATGAAGAAGTGTTCCCAAAATAATTGTGTAGCGTAAACAAAAATATAATACCAAATAGAAAAAAAAAACACTAAATGGAATAATCTTACCCTAGATAGGCCGAGAGAAAAACACAACTAAAGAATAAACTGAGATACCTGTGACACTAGACTTGATGAGGAAAGTCAACAAAACAATGAAGGAGGAGAATGTTGAATTAAGAATTGACATCATAGCACTCGGGACACCCCTAGAAGAGCTCCATCCCCATCTTCAGCAGCAAGCGAAGAGTTTCAATTCCAATGGCACCAGTAACTGTCTGATTTTATATCCGTCTCGCCCTTCCCCTGAGTGCCGAGCGCCAGCCAGATCCCCTGTTAACTCCTTGCAGCGCAATTCTCCTCAAGACTGTAATGATCTATTTGCTCTTCGGCATTGTTCCCAGAGGGCCCTCACAACCTCTACCTTGTCATACATCAGTTCACCAAGTGGTGCAGAACCGACCAGTCTATCTGCCTGTTCATTTCCCAACACACCGGCATGACCTGGAGAGAATATCCAAAGCAGACTGACTACCTAGGACCTCTGTAGTGATGCCTGCCACTCTGCACGGAGCATACTTGTCTCCACCTATCTCAACATGCTCTGTGAGTCAATGACAATCACGGCAAAGGACTGAAGGAGAAGAGAGGTAGAGCCGACTAACAGAGATCATATAACATAAGTTAGCACCATGGCATGAAGAAACATCTCAACAGAAATGATGAGCAGCAGATACAAGAGGGTTAAATCCCCTAGAACAGAGCTTTGAAAACTGTGTTTCATGACACACTAGTGTGTTGTTTGTAGTGTGAATGTGTCCCACGAATGTAATGAGCATGTGTACATATTTTTTTTTTTTAACCTCTGATCTGCCAGAGACGGAATTACTGTAGGAAAATGGTTTGTTTTAAATGTGTGTCCCTGACATCAACAATTTCAAAAGCTCTGCCTTAGAAGCCCTAGTATGCCTACTGAACAATTCGGCTCTGGTGTAGATCAAGCCGTTTGAAAAATGGACACCAGGCAACATCAAGATGTCTGGTAATCACCTGGGGAGGTGAGCAGGGGCAGTGAGGAAGGGAACTTGTGTGCAATAACTTCACACTTAAATGGCAGCATCGTTACTGGACTAAATTTATCCATACTGAATCGACACAGCACATGATGATGATCCTGTTTCTTCGTCTTCGTGTTCACCTGCTGTAAACTTTGACGGAAAGCTCTATTTGTTCATCCACTTCTGAAGTTTAGTTGTGTTCCAGGCTTTTATGCACATCCGTTTTACATATCTGGTTTATTGTTTATAATTACTGTTATTTTACTGCCTCTCAAGCAGATGAAATTCAACTTTCAATTAAGGTAACACCCCTATTTGGTCAACTCATACAACACGCTTGTTAGTACAGAACAGTAGTCTATCCCCACCCCCTCCGTCCTGGAACCAACAATAGAATGGTGATGGGTGGTGGTGGCGGAATGGTGAAATTAAGGCGCGGAGATGGACACAAAAAACAAGGCAGGATACGCCAGGAAAACAAGTTCCCGTGACTTTTCCGCGACATCCTGTGATTAATAGCAGATATCGGATGGCACTTATTCTGGCGATGCAGACGATACCCCTGTCGCAAGATAAGATCTCCATTCACGTGCTCAGCCCTTCTCGATCACCAGCCCGCAGCCAGCAGAATGTCACGGCTACCGCTCGCTGTCATCGCCTGCAGGGGTCATCGCCTGGCCGCTTACTGATTAACGAACGGGCATAAAGTTACTCAATCAAATTCCCGGTAACTGGAGTCTTTTCTTCGAACCGCAAAACAACATTCAGTGCGTGTGGGATCTATTTTTCAGTTTTAAGTATCCAGAAACCATCAGTTGTATACCCTTTGGCTTAGTACTATGGATCTCGCAACCATTCGGTCTTGATTCCATGATAGATACCGTAAATCAGGGAGAAATGTGGCTTTTCTGCCTACCCCCGGGCGTGAACCCGGACCACAAGGAGTTCTTCACCCTGTTCCCCGCGAATTCAGGTTTAACCAACTACCTCAGTAATATTAAGTAATGGGGCCCCAATCCTATATATATATATTTTTACAAAAGACGGGGTCAGAAATGACAATTTCAAGGAAGAAGTTGGGATGAAACCAGTTCTAAACTACATCAAGATACGACAGATAAAAATTGTTATGATGTGTGTCAGGACTTCCACCAGATAGTGCACCACAGAGAGTCCTGTTACTCAGACATAATGGAAGATGATCTAGATGTCCACAACGCAAGCGATGGATAAATGGAATATCCGAGGCCGTAAACAGGAGCATGTTCATAGGGCATAGAAAGGCTCGCACCTGGTGCCTCTTTAAAACCTGACGCTGAAAGGCAGAACGAGACTGCAGGAGGAGGAGGAGAATTCCAAATCCCTTCCACAATGCCACACTCGTAGCAAAGTCTGAAAGCCATGCAAATGGTCTTGTTCTGTCTTATGTCATAATAGTGTCCCACTCATGTCCAGTATTAACAACGTCTATTCGAAACCTTCAAATCTGCCATCACCTAATCACTGCCTGGGGGAGCCAGCCTGGTGTAGCGGTTAGACACTCGCCTGCGAATCGGCAGGCCGTGGATTCGGGTCCTGTCGGAGCGGGACTTTTTTTAAATGGCATTGGCTCCCAGGTCGACCAGCCTCAAATGGGTTCTAGGTACAGTCCTGGGAAGTAAAGGCGGTCCACTACGCTGACCATAATCACCCACCAAATGCCGATTGGGTTATAAAATATAGGTCCAGCCCTGGATGCTCAATACGCCTGAGGGCGTGGGAAAAAGGGTCATTTACCGTTCCGTTTCAATCGTTCGACATCAACTAATTGAAATTAATTCCTTCCCCGACCCATTAATTTTGTTAGCTAAACTCCTACGCTCTTTCTTAAATAGACAGGAGTCGCCGTGATTACATCAACAGCATCTCGGCAAAACTGTCCCACTGGTATGACTGTTAGGTTAGTTGCGTATCCTTTACAGGATGTTGCAGAACCAACCCCAGCAGCCCCTGGCTGTTGTGTGGTTTCCCTAGGCAAATTTACGTCCAGTAGTTTGCCATTGCTTACTGGATGGTCGGGTCCCCTGATACCACTGTCGAAACCAACGCACGGCCCGCAGCTGGGATCGAACCCGGCACTTCAAAGCGTTCGCATCGACTTAACCACACAGCCGACTAACAGGTGTGCGACAAGGATTGACAACTATGGTGTGTGTTGCAGAACCAACCACAGCACTTTCTGGTTGTTGTGGGTTTTCTAGGCAAATTAAGTCCAGTAGTTTGCCATTGCTTCTGGAAGGTCGGCCCCCTGATACCACTGTCTCTCGGTATTACGGTTCAAACCATCACAAGACATACCGTGCGCAGCAGGGATCGAACCCGGCACACGATATTACAAAGCGGGTTCGTAACGCCTAAGCCACAGACGCCGACGGTATGACTGTACATCACAGATTAAACTTCATTACAAACACTGAATTCAACCCCCTCATTTCTGTCTGTCAAACTCAGTTATTCTTAAACAACAACCACACAGCAGCCCCTTGAAGAGATAAACCACGCCGTTGTTAATGTAAATTGGACAAAACAATTGGGCCCGGCCAAAATTAACCAACCAGACGCGGGACGGACTAATTGCGTGTGCAACCGGAAGGCTAAGCCCGTCAATGCGAGTGAGTAAACGAGTCCAACCCAGTGACGGCAATTTACTGAGCCGGTGTGAGTGATCTGTTTCCTGCCTCACCTCTCCACCTCGCGATAGACGACCAGTGCGACAACCCCCACCTCCACCAACAATCCCTCCCCGCCCTTTTCCCTATTTGCTAGCGTTGAGATTATATGCTCTTTAAAAAAAAACCGCATAGTTATCCTATGGCGAGTTTTTATTAGTTTGTAAATAAAATATCGTACTAGGGTAGGTGGGGAGTTGCTGAGGCGTAGCGGTTAGACACTAGCGTGCGGATCGGAAGGTCGTGGGTTCGCTCCCTGGCGGAGCCGGACTTTTTTTTTAAATGACCTTGACTCCCAGGTCGT